ATTCAATCCTCTCTCTGAATAATGATTCAATTATTATCAAATTACATCCAACTTTATTATAATAAAACTAAACGGTATTACGTTTTTTGGCATAAGAACAAAATTTGGAAGAACCTTAAAACATGTTTACTCCACATATTGTGTGGTATATGAACACTAATTACACAGACCACACGAAAAAATTCTTGAACCGCGCTAAATACCGATATTAGGTTCGGACTCTCCGTTAAGTGCCTATAGTGGCGGGAGGAACTGTGTAATAATAATATCCACAATGCAAGGTTTATGATTTGTATCAGCATCGCATTGAAGACCAAACCAACTATATTTACCTCAATTCTCTAGTCTTTTCAGACGCAGAATCTTCTACACTCTCTGACTTCTTCTGATGTCTGGGACTTACGACCCCAGATGTAGCTTTCAACGACGTTTTAAGGGCCCAACGTTCAGCTGTTCATCAGGGTTAAACTGGGCAGGGTCTTTCGGCCAGCTGGCAGTTGTCACTCCAGGTCTTGTTGTAGCGACTAAGCCAGATAGTGTAGGAACCTTTCAGGGACACCACCGCTGTTGTGTTAAGTGCCCTCTTCTTCTTTGCCCGGGTGATGTTAAGGAAGTTGAAAATTCGGGGTAATGTGTGGTGGTAGAATCCACGACATCCAACTTCTACTGCAAAGAGATATCCTTCCCAGCCTGCGGTCTCGATCTCCACCATTAGATCTTCGTATCTCTTCTCTTTCCGGGATCTCTGGTCCTCAAAGTTCTCCTCGTTTCCACAGGTCAGCTCTATCAGGATGACTTTCCTGAGTGTGTTAGAGTATATTACCACATCAGGTCTGAGAGCTGTGTTGACGATATGTTGGGGGAATTGTCTTGTCCTTTCGTCCTCATCAAACACAAGTTTCTAGTCGTTACCTTCCTCTAGAAGATGAGGTTCTTCTGTACTTCGGTTTTCCTGTAGGTTCCTTTTCCGGATACGAACTTCCTCCACTCTCTCTTTACTTCTGTCTTCTGGGTAGCACTGTTTATCTCCCTCAGCTTCTCTGCAATTGGTTGCACGATTACCCTGAGCACCTGATCATGTCTCCAATTGTATCTTCTCTTTATATTGTATAACTGTGCTGTTTAAATATTTATCGTGTTTAAAAGTGTAAAATTAAATATTGTTGGTAATATCATTATTGCCTAATACAGTGATAAACCTGGCCGGCTTGGGGTGTAGCTCACCATATCACTATCAGATATGACAACGTGGTAGGGATATGGTATACAGAACATTGATACAGCAGTTGAAGACCCAAGTCTGTGACCTCCCCACTGACCGTCTGTGCAAACAAAACCTGCGAGAAACTTGGCTATATTTGTTTGGAATACCATAATACTGCATACTCTTTCAATTAAACTACCTTGTACCTATCAATCGGATCTTAACCGGCATTGCAGCATTGCCATCTGCAAAATTGATAAACAGTGAAAGAATATTATATTCTATACATTGCATATGTGCAGCTAACGATTCACGTACAGTAGTTCGACATCTCATTAAACTATATAAAAAATAAGTATAAAGAATAAGGAAAAGGAACGGGAATGAAGCCAATACCAGAAGTGAAACCCCACCAAAGAATAATTGATCCTTAGGTAGACCTGGTGAAATAAAGTAACTGAACTGTAAGTTTAAGAAAAGACGGAAGGAATAAAGGAGAGAGGAAATAATGTTATGTGAACATCATCAGCAGATGACTTGGCACACCGGTTTCGGGGGTTTAATACCTGTACCGGTTTAATGTGCCAAGACCCCCTAGCAATCACTCGTCAGTGATCACCTGTTCACGTTAAATGTGATGTCAAGGATGTCGCTGACATCAAGTATACTGTATTTGTACAGAATACTAGGTCGGTCTTTCAGAAGCTTTCTGAATTTACTCTTCAGGAGTCTGTCATTATAACATCTTGAAAGAAGTGTCCTATAAAGGGTGTTGGTAGAACACAGAAAAGAATCAAGGTCAGAGATAATGGAAGAGTAACGAAGGACCTGACCGTAAAAAACATTATAACCAACAGAAGAGGAAATATTACTGTTAGGAAAGGTGTACATGACCACAGGAAAGTTGAAGTCATCAAGTTTGTTGTAAAGCTTGGTGGCGACGTGTCCGGAGTTATTCATCGAGATGTTGATGTCGAGATAGTTTACGGACTTATTGTCGTCACCACTCCTCTCCATAAGCAGGTCAGGTGGATAAATGGACCTGATTAGGTTAGAGAAATGCAAATAGTTCATGGTGTTGAGGTCGTCGACATATCTGCAGTTTCTTGAGAGGAGCTTAGCGAGACCGAACTTCTTTTCTTTGATTAGGCGTGTCATGTAGTTGAATTCACACTTCCCTAGCGAAAGATCAGCGAACTGGCTACTAGAATTCCCTCCCATGGGAATGCCTTTCGTTTGTCTTAAAATCTGATCCCCAAAACAAACAAAAGTGTTAAACAGAATAAATGTAATAGCTGTTTTGAGTTTATCAGCAGAAAAACATAAGTATCCGTTATATTCCTTTTTAGAGAAAAAATTGTTGTTCTTATACAGAGAAACACAAATAAATTTATTCGTATTACTAAAGAGGAGATCTATTAGCTCGAAAAGCAGTGACTGTACAACCTGAAGGTCTAGATTGGTATACAGAGTGGTAAAGTCGTATACCTGCATATTAAAAATCTCTAGTCTAGGCAGCCTTTCCAGGAACTGTTTAGAGCTGTTAATGCTCCAGTCGCAGTTAATTCCAGTATTGTTGTAGATAGAGTTGCAGTATTTGGAAAAGTATTCTTTTAAAACTTTTAAAGCTTTGTTGACTACAACTGATATCTGCTTAGTGGTACATTTACTGGCCCCAGCTATAAATCTAGACTTATAAGGATTCTTGTGAAGTTTAGGAATCCAAAAGATTCTCGGTAGACAAAGGTTGTCCTCAGAAACACGAATATTAAAGTTATCTTTAATGAAGTTCACATGTTCCTGAATAATATCATCCTCTACAGAGTTAACCGGATGATAAGTAGAATTGCCACGACACTCTAGAGAAGTGAGATCGTAGCCAAGCTCGTTGAGAAGGGTTAAAAGATAAAACTTCTTGCAGACAAAAACATAATTATTTGAAGCTTTATCTACGGAGCAAATAATAAAAGAAGAAGAAAGACTGTCGAGATAAGATTTAACATCATCCCTTTGTAGAATGGAATTGTAGGGAGTGAAGTTATTAGGGGAGGAGGAGAGGAAGTTAAGGCGATTGGTGAAGATCCGGGAGACCTCATCTTTCCAATCCTGGAATTCCAAACATGAAAGTCCATGTTTCCTAGCCATACGGGTGGCGAAGTTGGCTGAACACTCGTTGAGGCTCTCCAAGATTTGCTCAGGAGGAACAGACACAGGTTCCCTAAATTTGGTACCGTAACTCATGATGCCTCTTAAATCCTCGTGCTCAATGAAAGCAAGGTCACCGGTGATGATGTGGCCTCGAGGCTGATAGCAATAAGGGTTACTGGAACAGGGGCAATCACCTTCCAGGATGGAGGAAATAGTAGTATTATCAAGTGATTTAAGGAATCTATTATAATTAAAAAGCTTACGCCCGACAGGAATATCGTACTTATAGTAAACTTTTAAGGGAAGGAAAGGCGTAAGGTTTGGAGGGAGAAGAGTCAAGATCCTAGAGTCACGAATGACTGATTCTATTCGGAGTTTATCAAATATTTTAGAACAATAGTGAAAAGTGATAAACTCGCTATTAACAGAGGTGATATTAGGAGAAGAAGTGCTGTCTTGGCCAGCAAAAGATTGTATAACAAGGAAAATGGCTCCAGATTTGCAGAGGGAATGAGAGCTAAGTTGCTTGAGCTCGCCTTTTTGAAGGCTACTTATATCTTTATAAAAGCTGTATTTGCTTTCAGACATTTTTCTTTTTAAACTTTCATATTTATTGTCAATCTCTCTTAAAGTGAGAGTCCTTTTGTATATTCTATCTTCATGGCTTTTGTTTTTCTTTTTTCTGCCATGTCCTCTTTTATATCTTTTTATTTTATTTTTAAAATAAATATCGTTAAAGTTGCTTTTAGAAATATTACCAGAACCTTTTATGTTGTCATTGAGACCTAGAGGGTGAGCAGTGCTCAGGAGATTAATCCAAAGAATCCAAAGAATGCACGACAAGTTAAGTTTAGGGTTTGTCGAACTGCAGCGCTGAGTACGTGTACCATGTCTTATAACGGTCACAGCTGAACGACTTTTGTTAAAAACCACACTTAACTGCAGTTCTCCCGGAGGAGCTTTTCCGGACCATTATTATAATTCATATTCATACTGAATCTGTTTGTAATTACTGCCCGTAATTATAAACATTGATATTCAATATTAGGATCAGTGGGCCAAAACCACAGAATTTTAGAAATATGAGCTCTAAGTAAATGAAAGCGAGCAGTTTTTAATAATATAAGTTTGTACAACCCGAAAAACAAGAAGTCGTCCTGTTGCTAGCAGGAACCCGTATAACCCTAAAATGGTATCAAGATTCAAAAAGACTAAAATAATTATTACTTATTTAATTCGCGTTTTTGACACAACTTGGGGGTCCAAATTTTGGGCTCTCAAATTCCTATTCCTTAGCCAATTTTTTAGTTTTTTCATGCTGATTTGGAGGCTATTAAAGCATTTGACCCAGTCAAAAAAGTTACAGTTGTATATCTTTTACGGTTTTTGCGGAAAGTTACGTTAAAGTTGATGCCGTGGTGTTAGTAAAATGGTACGGATAAACATACAGGGTGGGCCCAAAGTCAGTACCCATACGTTGGGTCTTATACCTCCGCCGTCTTTTATATTTTGAGAGTTGTTGCTTTGCAGAATGCAGATGGCATACTGTACCTACTTGTTCGAGGATTCCGTCGCCAAAATTTGAAAATTCTAATATTTTAGACCATGCCCATTCAATATTAAAACACCTATATTGTTCTTTGTGAACATGTTGGACGCCTCTGATCTGAAAATGTTCGACGCATCTGATCTGAAAAAGTGATGCGAAACAGATTAGAAATGACGAAGTTATCAAGCAATTTGTGTATCTCGTTAGCAAAATTGATTGGGTGATTATGTGACACCGTGACACGACACCTTAATTGGACAGCCTTAACGATTCCCATAATGTTCAACGGGGTATTTACCGGGGTCACCTTATCACGTGATTAGGTAAGCCAATCACCTGATCACACGGCCATTCGAATAACGTTTGTCCTGAAAAAGTAGAGTTATAGCTTCTCAGATGACGGAGATACGAAGAATATTAACGAGTTCATTCATTACATAATTCAGTAAAATTTAGCTCGATTCAACTATCCAAATTATTAAATAAATGCGAAAATAATTCTTCATTTGAAAATAATGAAAACGAATATTTTTCGAGTTGACAAATTCCCCGAACCAGTGGTGGTACTAAGTTATACCAGAAAGTCAATCATCTTCACGAGCACGGAATTGTGCACAGGAACCTAAAACCAGAACTTATTTACTTTAAAGACAAATCCCACACAAAACTAATGGTTCATATAGGACTATTCAACACAGCACCAGGGCAGTCAGAGAATCTAACCCAGGCTTGTGGAACACCAGGGTATGTATCCCCTGAACTCCTCAACCAGAAGTACGGCAAAGAGACAGATCTGTGGAGCCTTGGTGTGATCACTTACACCATGCTTTGTGGGTACCCTCCCTTTTACAGTGAGTCCATTACCGGGTTGTTCAACGCCATCAAACGGGGGAAATACAATTTTGATACTTCCCATCGGGATGGTATCTCGAGCTTGGCAAAGGATTTTATAAACAAGTTGCTGAGGATCAATCCAAAGAAACGGATGTCAGGTGAACAAGCGTTAGATCATCCATGGATAAGGAAGTACACAGCTGAGGATGAATCAGAAGGAGAAACAACCAAATCATCCTGTTAATTGTTATTTTTAAACTTTTGTAATTAGCTCTTACGATTTTCAACATTTTGTTGTCAAGATTTGAATTTTATTTGCGGTTTTTCCAGTTCGATATTATTATGTCCAGTACATTATCCCCTAACTAGAACTTTAATTGTTAATGTCTTTCCAAAAACCAAAATTGGAGTGAAAAAACTGTTCCTTGTCAGTCTAAATTGTCAGGTGTAAAGAACTCCTGATACATAAAAATATCTAATGTTTGTACCGTATTAAGTATATTATAATATAACTAGTGCCTGTATTTTACAGTGCTGAATCCCTTTTAAATGAGGAAACCATTGGTTTACTTATTTTACTTTTTTACTTTGTAACTTTTTCATTCATGATGATCTAACTTTCGAGTCGTTGGCGTCGAATAATAAGGAAACATAATGGATAAATTGATAATTTTCAATTCAGCTACAAGGCTATTAAATCAAAAAATGTAAATCACAATTTAGCATCAAAAATTCAAGCATTAAAATTCAAAAAAACTAAAAATGAAAGCTCAAACTAAAATCACGGAAGAGAAAAATTAAACATTTCAGATAACACTTTAAGACTAAGCTTACGAAGTTGCGATAAATTGCATAATTTATTAATTTGTACAGTTAAGCTAATACGATGTGTATTAAGCTAATACGATGAGGACATGCTCAAAAGTTGGCATTTTTCCAAATCTAGAACTTAAAGTATGTAGCTGGAAATCTGCTCGTAGGGTGTTCATCGCATTACTTGTTTCATAAAAATCTCGAAAATAAAGCTGAAGTGGTATTAACCACTGTCTTGCTGCTATAACAACAAATTAATTTTGTGCTGAAAAATCAGAGAATTTAAGATTCTCTGATTTTTATAGGATTAGTACTTCAATTGCATTTTAAAAACTACTCTTGATATAAAAACAAGATATTGTATATTATATTATGTACTGTGTACTATTCTGACCGATTAGAATTTTGATGAATAATTTTGAAAACACAATAATATTATTTAGTAATATTATCGTTGACCATTTGCTGTGTAGTTTGTATAGTTAATTTTAATTCTAGTCTATTCTAGTTATAGAAATACGATAAAATTATTGTATATTCAACAGTGTTGTAAAAATCATGTTCTTTAAAACATAGCGTTAAACGAGCTAAACTTAATTATAAATTAAGCTAAATAAGAACAATATGATTGTTTTAGCCTTTACGGCGCACAACACTCATGCAAATTCTAATTCTAACAAAATCTGATTGTGGTAGGTCATAAGTGCAATGTCCAGGTCCTACCACCTGACAGTTCTGTACAATATATGTATAGCGATAAAAACAGCTGTTTTGCAAAAAGTTTCTGAATGCTCCAAGATGCTTCATAGCAATGGATCTAAGGTAAGTTTTAAATGAATCATAAAGTCAGGAGATCCAAGGGCCACGGAGAAGTTAATCATCCTGAGGGTTGACCCAAGCTTGAGTGACCATGTTACTCTGTGGAGGCTGAGGGACCATGTTACTCTGTGGAGGCTGAGGGACCATGTTACTCTGTGGAGGCTGAGGGACCATGTTACTCTGTGGAGGCTGAGGGACCATGTAACTGCGAGGAGGCTGCAAAGCCTGAGGGGCGGGAACTGCATAATGCAGGGATTGAGGAATATTTGGCATGGTCGTATAATTACCTTGTTCACCTCCACAGCATGAGCAGTTACACACTTTACCCCGGACAGCCGCTACAATCGTGCCTACTAAGAAGAAAATACCGATTACGATAGGCAGCATCACATAACCTAACACAGACAGGGTATACCTCATATCCCAATCGTGGTAATAGTTTTCCCACTCGTCCTTGATAACAAGAACACCCTGTTCGGACATGACTGTACCTTCCGGGTCAGCACTGCAGTATATTCCAGCCAAGTCCAGTGCACATATGTTTTGGAAGTAAATGAAGGATTCTGTGACTTGATCAAGACCATATGGGTTGTGATGCTCAGTGCTGTAATTAAAGCAACGCCAATTTTCCATTTTACTGATCTGTTCAATGGGCCGAATGGTGTCATTCACACAAGAGTTGAACTGGTTACTCTTCTTACTATTGTACTGTTCTTCCCATATTTTGCATTGGTCAGAATCAAATCTGATAAACCAATAAACAGGTCCCCCTGTCACAACACACTGCATCAACAATTTAGATCTGATCCTCTGGGTGTAAAAGTTTTCAAAATACTCTATCTTTTCAGGGAGGTCTCCTTCAAGCGCACTGTCAACCACTGTGATTCTCCGAACATTGTATATTCCAGTCTCTTCCTGATCATCAGTCAATTTGCACTCATACTCACCAAGGTCGTCCTTGGTCACGTTTGTTATAGTGAGGGCCGATGCAAAGCACTCCATCTCTCTCTCCGGTAGTAGTAGTCATTATCTTCGTCCCGAACTGCTGCAATATTCATGCTGTTCACGATATCAGTGGTCCATTCAAATGTCTCACAGTAATTAAATGTAAGACTGCTTTTAAAACTGTATTTAGCACCCGGGGTGAGCTCTTCATCATTTCTCGTCCAGACATGTTTGCAGGAACGACCACGGTAGTTGTCGTTGCAGTCCGCTGATCGGCTGTAGTCGTCCGAATACTTTTTTATTATTTTGGTGCACCTGAGGATATTGCAAGGTAAGGATTGTGTGATTCAGCTTTTTATCGGTAATATAAAAAATAAACAAATGAATTTATATTTTAGCCAATTTTACAAGATAAAATGATAATAGCAACGAGTGGAAATTGAAAAAAAAACTTAATTATTAAAACCCTTTTCATGAATGACATTCTGTCAAAGGCAGCTTAATTGAAGGAAAGGGTAGGCAAAGTTAATGAGGTAGGGGAAATGTGGGCCTGGATGCTATTGCCTATCTTTCAAAACACTAGTTCACAAAAGATAGTTTATATAGAAGGATAATGATATTATGGAGTGTGTTTTTCGTTGAGAGTGGAAATTTAAGCGCAGCCCTAAAATGGCCAAGCAAATTGCATGTTGACATTAGAATTAGAATTAGAATTAAAATCAAATTTACACAGCAATACAATAAGAATAAAAAATAATTTAAGAAGCTTCAATCTGCTGTGCAGGACATTCAAGTCAGTCGAAAACTGTTAGCAGAACACCCTTCTAGGGACATAAGGATATAGTATGTAAAACATAATGAGTAATAAATTAATGAGTGATAAAATAAGATATGATTTAACAGTGAACTGTGGGCATGAAGGTAACAATTAAGATTACATAGATGCCCACCTTGGAATTACGTAATGTTATTTACAGTTATACACAGAGAAGTATAGAACATGCATACGACAGGAGCCAAGCGGTCATTAGCTACCATAATAATATAGAAAGAAAAAAACAAGATTGGTTACCATAGTCCTTGACTCTTTTGTGCCTAATTAGCTATAAGTAAAAATATTTACCTGAGCTGAACAGAACTTCCGAGGACAGCAGGTACTTTATCTAGAGCGGTGTGAGGTAGTTCATCATAAGATTGGGAGGAGTGAACCAACAGTAACGATACTACACTTATCACGTTTCTGTACAGCATGCTGAATATATTTTTTCATCATTGAATATATTTAGAATATGTATATTATATATATTACTAGAAAACCCGTGGTAACAGGAATAAGGCTAGTAGTATTCTTTGAAAGAAAGTTTTAATCGCATCAAAAAATATCCATTCCAACCAAAGATACAGCCGTAATTATCACAAAACCGATCAACCGTTCCAACTATCTTTGCACGTGCACGTTATTATATTTAATATGCAATAGTGTAGAACCACTGTTGCACTGACAAAAAATCATTAGTTGTCATGATGAGTTTAGTTAGAGTTCATGGCATCTGGAACTCAATGAGAGTTGCAGGAGAAGTTACTATAAAGAATTCTGTCAAAGTTATTGCTGTAAACTTTTTTATTTTTGCTTTATAAGCTATAGTGGCTTCTATTCCTACTGTGTTCCATTTTGAAGATTTCTTTGTCAATGGAATACGATATGACACTGAACTGCAACTTTTCATTGGGATGGTTAACAAAGAGACACACACTAGGGTATTTAAAGAATATTTCAGACGTATAGATGAAAGGATTCTTGAATGATGGTTTCCGAAATATTCTCCCACGATTCTTTAGCAGAGGACTTCACAATGACTGAAACTAAAGTAGGTTTCTACGGGGAAGATGGAGTGTGCTTATTCAAATACTTTATTTGGAAAACAGATTCACAACGGGTGTTGGTATGGAGAGTTCTCGTATTAGACTTGATCTGTTTTGCTCTGATATCAGCGTGCTACATCATTATTAGCATACTATCTATCAGATTTTCAAATAATGTGACCTCCAGAAGTGCCAATAAACAGACTCATCAAAGAAACAGGCGAATGAATTAAAGAGTTTCTATGATAATCATTACAGATTTTCTCTACTGGATGCCATCTATTTTTATCTGTATAGTTCATTATCTAGAGGTCCTTGGTGCTACACCATGGTATTAAATCTTCTCCATGGTGATCCTAACAATCAACTCCGTGATAAATCCACTCCTCTATAACGATATTATTATATCAAAAGTAAGCTTATGGTCACATCACGGACTAGTACTAGAATATCAGTCTTTACCTCAACTTTTCGGTCTGAACAAAATGTTGAACAAGAGGCTACTGAGGCTACACCTCAAGAAAACGTTGAAATGCACGAAATCTTTAGCCTTAAATTCTAACGAACAATCATTTAATTACAGTTCAATAAAACAATAAGTACTCTTTGGATTCCCACTTCACATAGCCATGTGTCTACGCATACTGCGTGACGCGCTTGTTTCACAAGTAGAATCCTGTGCCGCCTTCGGTGGTTGCGAGCTACTGCAAGCAAGAGGGCTCTGGTTAGAGCAAGATTCCAACTGTTAACCAGCAGCTGTCAGCTGTCGCAGCCAGACATAATTTCATAATAACCCATATGCCATTATCGACATTATCACACTGCTCAGTGCTTTCTAATGAACAAGAGATTCATTTACAATCAATTATTCACTTTCATGTAAACATCAATTTCAAGAAAACAACAATTTTATTTAGTATCAATTAAGGCAAACAAAATTATATTTTATATATAACTAGTGCAGGACCTTTATGTCAATTATTAGAATTAGAATTAGAATCAAATTTACACAGCAATACAATAAGAATAAAAAATAATTTAAGAAGCTTCAATCTGCTGTGCAGGACATTCAAGTCAGTCAAAAACTGTTAGCAGAACACCCTTCTAGGGACATAAGGATATAGTATGTAGTAAATTAATGAGTGATAAAATAAGATATGATTTAACAGTGAACTGTGGGCATGAAGGTAACAATTAATGTTGAAGATTACATAGATGCCCACTTTGGAATTACGTTAGTAATATTATTTACAGTTATACACAGAGAAGTATAGAACAATAATAGAATGGCAATGATAACAAATGGAAACGAATAAAGGAGATGTTTAATGTTCTATACTTCTGAAAATAGGTCATATAACGCAGGGGGCCTTACCACCCGACAAAAACTCCAGCACCTAAAAATTTGTTTCAGTTGTCACATAGCTAGAGTGTAGAAATAGTCGAAACTATTGTTTATTTCATAGGATGAGACTCCTTGAATTACATCTGACATAAATTTAGATTTCATACATTGTGAGAATTTTACACTACATTCTATAGTCCTTATGTTCTCTGGAATTGTATTCCAACATTTTGCACCTAAATATGTAAAGGTTTTGTGTGTTCTGGATTAGTGAATATAAAAGTTGCACCTCTCAGCATCACGTGATCCTCCGGATACATGACAAAATTTACTGGTGAATGATGATGGTGCCAAATATGATGTCAAATATCTTAGGGGACTTGCAGTAGCAAGAAAATGTGACCCTTGCCTTGTCATTAAAAAGTTTGCACAAGATGGATCACGTTTTTCATTAATACATGTTAATAAAATTGTTGAGCCATTTAGTCGAGGGCAAATTGGAGCTCACAAGTTATTTTACATTTTGTTTTTTAATACAGCTTTCGAGCATGCAATAAAATTTTTAACGTATTTAATTTGATTCGTCAGATTTCACTTTTTTTAATTCAACAAGCAGAGCTAGGCAAATCACAAATGAAAGAAATATTTTTTGCTAATTGAAGAAAAAAAATGAGTGTAATAGTTTTTGCATTGAAAACTTATTGTTTCATTGAATTCCTATAATTTCTAATTTTGGATAATTATTGAATAACAACGTTTGTTTAATACCAAAATATCCTTTGAACAACTCAGCGCGGCGCGCGTCTTGATATGTCATAAACTATATTATATTTATGTACAAATATTATAACTTAATTGACGATGTCAATTCATGGCAGCACGGCGCAGTGCAGTAGCGCATTTTGCCGATCTAGAGTCGCTGTGAGAAGCCTCATTGAGTGCGCGGCGCAGCACAGTAACGCATCGCGCTACAAGGCGATGCACTACTGTCCACTGGGCCGCGCCGCGCGCATCAAATAATTATTCTCGCGACGCAAAAATATGCACAATGCACAATGACTCAATTAAGTCTCACCGAGCTGCGAATAATTGATATGATATATGACATCGCATGAATTAAATCATAACTTTCGTGCGTTATATCATTTCGCTTGCGCCGCGCGTATCAAAACTACCACTGATTAACGATGTCAACCCTTCCAGATCGTTACCTTGCGAAGCAGAGCAACGATATTGTCAACGATATTGTCAACGATCTTGCTTCAATGCAAAGCAAGAATGCTAGTTTGTGCGTCGAAGCGGCGAAGTCCTCAAAAACTACCATGCACCAAAAAAAGCGTAAACACTTTAATATTTACATTTAATTTAAGGTTTAAAAACAGTTTCATAACATTTACTGTTTGCGTTTTGTGTTGTTTATGAATTCGCAAATTAAACATTATTGGAATCATTGATATAAATTGTATGTATGGACAAACTGATCCTCATGAACTCTCAACCCGGGTAGTTGATCTCAATGCTTAGTTAAAGCATAAAAACGTCAGTTAACAGAATGCAGAAATTTTTCAAATACATGTACAATAATTGGGAATGGTAATCATCATATCATATTTTGAAATGAGCTGTAAAATTTAAGTTAAATTCAGAAACCTTCTACTAAATCCAATTCAGCAAAATATCATACTATAAAATTCTTTGTAAAGAAAGTGTTGTACCACTGCAAATTTTAACAATGTTTTTCTTAAATAGATCAATAAGAAATTACAATAAGAAATTACAATCAGCAAGTTTTTTGTTTGTCATTGTTTGATATGAGTTAAACATGTGAGCTACTATCTAGCTAGTTGTCAATGACTGCTGTTCATCCAAGTTTTCATCTACATCTCTCTTTCCTACACTGTCCAAAAACAATATTGGTATCAATGAAAGAAAAAGAACGACCCCTAACACAATGAATATAAGAGAGGCAGATTGTCTTAACTCAAAGGTAAAAGTTCCAGCGATTAACATTCCTAGTGAATAAAAAATCAAAAGGTAAGCGAAAGATGTGCAACGCTTGTCTGTGGTGTACACTTCTAAGGCATATATTATGACAATGACAAGCGCACCAAAAGTAAACCCTCTTACAAGTCCCAGCTCAATAAGTGTAAGTGCTGCTGGTTGGATGCAGACAGAATTAGCCAATACAGCTGCACCAGCTACAGCTGCTAGAATTGACATGCTCACTTTCTTACCAGCTGCTTCACTTATGAACAGGGCAAATAAAAGTCCTAACAGATCTGGCACTAAAGCCAAAAGGGAGGTGACAAGGTAGGATTTTCCATCAATATTTTCACAAGTTAGAACTTCAATAATTTTATCGCTTTCGCAGATACCGTATTCTACCAGTGACCTGAACACTCCATAAGATGTGCTATAGTAGCAAAATGAAAGGGCAAAGAAGAGAACGAAGAGCAGGATTGTGGTTCGTAAGTTCAGCATGTTACAAGGTCCACAGCACTTTCCTCGCCCTTCAATTTCCTGGCTTTTGAGCCTGCCCTGCATCATGGGAACACTGTTCTTTTTGTGCAACATCAAGAGATGCTCGTAGGCTGTGGAATGTCTCCCTGATATCGATAAAAACCTGAAAGGTACAAGATTCTTTGTAATGTTACTATAACATCACTTTTATACAAACGCTGATCTGGCTGATATTCTGAGATGCAATTAAAAGAAAAGTTAACATTATTATCTGGCAAACACATTACCTTGGGGAACCACTTGTCATATGGAAGAAAGTAAGCAAGAGGATGACAGGAAAAACAAGTATAACAGTAACCAGATGCCATCCGATGAGCTCTATCAGTGTACTGAACAGCACAAGACAGTACACTTGTCCGAGAATGTACTCCCCAAACACTATTAGAGCAACTCTGAGGAGATCATATAATTAAACAGTATTTAGGTTGGGTGGCAGAGATAACTACAAATGTAAAGATGATTGGAAATGTGGATCTGATTAAATTTGTGGAAATGACCACTGTGACCAAATGGAATGTAGAAACCTTATTACAGAACTGCAATACCAAAGAACCATTTTAATGGAGTTATACCTAGTATGCTGGTGCAGAGATGAGTTTTCAAAAGCAAATATAATCGAGGAGGGGAGAAGGAAAGCAAATCCGCCTCCGACACAAAGCATTGTTGCAAACAGAAGTGTGACACTGATAGCACTGAGAAGCCAGCATATAAACACTACATAGGCTCCTGCTAGTGCTGCTTTGGTTCTACCGATCTTGTCAGAAATCACTCCACTCAATGGCAAACCTGCAAAACAATTTATTAGTTTTGAAAAAAAAACATAGCCAAATGAAACCTTTTCTTAAAAGAGTATTACTTTATACAGCTGGTTGTGTCAATATAGCTCTCTTTCTTGCATAGGGAGTGTATTACATTTTAAACTGGTTATAAAAATGGTTGAGGATGATAACAAAATGAATGTAGTTTGAGGAGTCCAAAAAGTTGCGTTTTTCTTGTACCACTCATACTGTAATTGTTCAACAATAAACGTTTTACAATAATTGAATCGTCAATTATAATCAACCTCACCCATTATCAATCCAAGGATAACAATGATTTTAACAGCCACCACCTCCACTTCTGTCATCTCTTCCTTGCACAGCATGTACTGACAAATCAACTGAACATACATGATCAGAGTCCCGAACATGAACAAACCCACACCCGCTGCTGCGGTAGTGTTGAAACTCAGCAGTTTGAACCCGGCATGGTCATACAGCTCATCGATTGTTAGCTTTTGTTGGGGATCTCCAGTGGTCTCAAACGGGAAGATTGTTGCGTCATCCTGGATGATGGGCTCCTGATCCTGATTATCCGGCATCACACAGACCTTCTCACGTCATGTTTCTGCTGCTTTACTTCCTTTAGTTCAGCACTACGTAACTTTTCTTCAGCTAGCTATGATAGTATGATGTACACAACATTTTTCAATAAATATACATAATATCAGCTGGTAGACTTATCCTAGAATTAAATAAGTATATTTTATCGACATTAATCATTTGTTAGTTTCAATGAGGTTAGTAATTTGTCATGATTTTCGTTGGAAAGAGCTGTCGTGTTGATCCGATTGAAATAGGACAGCAATTTTTAAATTTTATATCATTATTTTGTTGTGATTTAGATAATTCTAACAGTGCCACAATTTTGACTTAAATTGGTATATTTTAGTACGAAGTTTGATACCTCTTTCAATCCCATGCTAGTGCTACTGCCATAAAATATTGCACTACAAAACATTATGGTATCTCAAACATAGTTAAATAAGGAAACAGTTCCTGTTCCTACAACAGCACAACTTCAAATCACAAACCAAGAGTAAATTATACAACTCAACTCACAACTGTAGATCTCAGCAAACAAAAGCATATCTTTGTCAATTTGACACACAATGGGCTCTGATAATCAAAGTCAGGGTGAATGAATGGGTAGAACCATTGTCGAGTATCACGTGACCGACCAACCAAGCTATTGTATTAGTACACAGCACGTGGTGTTGCCTGTCACAATCAGTCCCTGTCGTTTCTATTGCGTCTCTATATCGGTTAAAAAACGATGTTATTTGGTAGCACGGTATATTCTTCATATTTATGATGAATAACAAGTCGAGGCATTACCTAATTTGTGGAATCCATGCCCAAAATCCAAATCTGTGCATATTTCAAAGGCTCGGTGAAACAAAGGTTTAAATATATGTCAAACAAAACGAACGAGTCTACACCGAGTACAATATGGGTTGTATACATTGTAAGCTAAGCATTGTTTTAATAACTGGTGCACATATATCCAAAGCCGCAATCTTTAATTAAGGAAAAATTAATCGCACTTAACAATGTAGAATAGTGCTGTATTGTGTTTATAATACAATATTGCTAGATATTGCAGGAGAAACTGTAGTGTACATAATAAAATCAAGTAAAGAAGGCAGAAGACAACTCGCTGGCTCTGTAGTTATGTTTTCTGCTCGACGTTTTTCTTTGTCAAAACTGAAAACTTACTACAGTCCAATAACTGAACTGAGGAGATAGTAAGAGTTATTGTGAGAGATTAACTCAATAGAGGAGTACAAAACAAAGGTTGTGTTTGACTGTTGATGCGTTGACTGTGTTATTTATCTCAAATAACACACCGAACAGGGCCTGCAATATTAGGGGCAATGAACTGTAGTAATTCAACTGTAAAGGTATTTAAAAGTGGGCGGTGCTCTCTAATTACGTTAGACTAATATATTGTTCTTCTATTGCTGACGTGAGACTTGGGGACTGGGGGCTCTGTCAGGCTCATAATCGGCAAGAGCTGAAAGAACTTGGTTATCCGGAAATCTTAACGATAGCCTAGATTTTGTAACTGATTTTAGATTGATGTGATTTGGATTTAAAGCTCAATAACAATGAATCAGCTGATACTTAACTGGTAACATTGTAACATGTGATTAAGGAATGCTTTCGCGATGTTTCAATTTTTCAATGAAATAAAGGAAGCTATGAGACAATACAAATTACAGAGGATATCTAAAGAACTGTTATATTATGACAAATATACTACATTGCTCCGTCAGGTGGCGAACCTGTATTTACACAGTCGTGATTTAATTGTCAACTTACTCTGCTCCAACAATCTCGTGATTTAAAAATAGCATTAACTTGATTAAACGGCTGCTCTCCAAATTCCAACGTGTACAAATTTAGAAACTTTGACTGACATTTGATACGATCTATAATATCTAACACAATCTCCAGAGTTCCTTACTACCTCTAAAAAATTTTTAATTTATTACAATATCTAGAGTTTTCACTATCTTATCTCACTATCTATATTATCTCACTATCTATCTTATCTGGTTGTATCTTGATATTAACTCCCGTGATAGTACAGATGAAGTATAAATGAGCAGTAGGTTCTACAGTGATGTATCAGCAGCATTACAACAAATAGCAGACCCCATAGAACCGATGATAAACGATGCAATGGAGGAACATACTAGCAATGGAGAAAGGTCCGGCGTGGTGGTCATGTCTACTGTCGAGCTGCTAGGTATGAAACACAAGGAAATATTATGTTGAATCAAATTTTTTGGCTCTTTCCAATTTTATATATGATTTTTTGATGTAGCATCTTCAATTGGAAATCAAAGTTTGACGTTCGCATGTATGTGTAACATGCATGTATGTAACAGAATGTTACTATTCTCACACCCACCACACTACACCACACTACACTACACTACACTACACTACACCACACCACACCACACCACACCACACCACACCACACCACACCACACCACACCACACCACACCACACCACACCACACCACACCACACTACACTACACTACACTACACTACACTACACTACACTACACTACACTACACTACACTACACTACACTACACTACACTACACTACACCACACCCACTACACTACACTACACTACACTACACCACATCCACTACACTACACTACACTACACTACACTACACTACACTACACCACACCCACTACACTACACTACACTACACTACACTACACTACACTACACTACACTACACTACACTACACTACACTAGACTGACCTGAATTTTCACTTTTTCGTCTGATCATCTTGGAAAGTTTTTTGTACATCCCCATGGACGTAAATAGTAACCAAAAAAATTATTTTTGAAAAATTCGGAAATTTAGGTGTTCCCCAAGCCGTTTCCATGACAACCGCGCTCGCGAACCTCAGAAATCTGGAAAAATTCGATATCTCAGGACCCATTGCACCTACAGAGCTAAAATTAGGCTTAAAAGATGCGGAATCAGCATATTTATATGAGACTTATTAATATACATCTTACTATATATAAAGCGAGACGATATATATATGTGTATATATCCGTGCCATTTTACTGACACCACGGCATCAACTTTAACGCGACTTTCCGCAAAAACCGTAAAACATATACAACTGAAACTTTTTTGACTGGGTCAAATGCTTTAATGGCCTTCAAATCAGCATGAAAAAATAAAAAATTGGCCAAGGAATAATAATTTTAGTGCCCAAAATTTGGACTCTCAAGTGGTGTCAAAAACGCGAATTAAATAGGTAATAATTATTTTAGTCTCTCGAGTCTTGACACCACTTTAGGGTTAGACGGGTTCCTGCTAGTATAGCCTAAAGTGCTCACTTTCGTCAAAAATTGCAAAAAACTCATTTTTTGTACATTTCCATGGCAACTGCGCCCTAAAATTTGGATGTGCATCTCTATTTTTCAGTCAAACTATGAACAGCTCAGTACTACACCTGAGGAAGAACTACAGTACACTACACTACACTACACTACACTACACTACACTACACTACACTACACTACACTACACTACACTACACTACACTACACTACACTACACTACACTACACTTGCACTACACTCACTACACTACACTACACTACACTACACTACACTACACTACACTACACTACACTACACTACACTCACTACACTACACTAGACTACACCACACCACACCACACCACACCACACCCACCACTCCGCACCCATTACACCATGCCACACTACACTACCCAGTGATAACACCACTATTTCCCAGTTGACGAGGTACACGATCTGCCCCCTCAAAGTGCCAGTAACCTGGTGTTATGCACTGTAATATGTGGAGGACACCAGATCCGAACCAACATGCAGGTCCCTGAAGCCGACTGCGTCAAGGTATGAGACTTAGGGGGGGGGGGGGGGGGGTATTCAAAGATTCATTTAACAGAGATGTGCACCGTGTTACTTTTAGGTGGCGGCGGTCTGGACGCCAAAATTGGTCGGATAGATATTACTAGATATCCAAACCGCGGTCTGTGTGTACATGATGGTAATTTGGTTGGGTAACTGATGTATATGAATTGATTTCTTAATATCACTCTACAATGTAGAAAAATTTCGTGGCGGTGGCGGCTAATCGCGGTGGTGCACGTCTATGTCATATAAACTCAACGATTGTGTATCTAAAACATTGCTACGCGGGTTGAACATTAAACTGATTGTCACATTACAAGCTCTCCAGTGGGAAGCAACTGGCTCAAAAGTCGGGCCCTTATTACCAAGTAGCCTATCGAACAGTCCTAACACTTACAGAAGGGGTGAACGGTAAACAAAGAAATTTGGGAAGGGAGAGAAAGTAACGCCGTAACGGCCGCATGGAATATTAAAACTGTAGAAATCTGCAATTGAACAAGGACCATCGTTAGCATTAATTATAATATTTATAAACTACACGATAATCTTCTACGGTTAAATATGGTTTATGGAATCATGATTAACCAACGAGATGGTAAACGAACAGCTGCGGCCGTAATTGCTAGTTTAACGGTTCACATTACTCGTTCGGTCACTATTACTAATGATACAATGTGATATTACTAGTCCTAGACAGCAACTTTATGTTTCTCGTTAGTCATAAACAGAGAAAGTGAGCACACCTGGGTAGTTGTTTCCGTCAGATTAATGATATTTTCTAGTAAAAGAAAAAAGAAAGCAGGTGCTGGGGAAAAACACCGCGATCAAGTTGAACAATTCGCCAAATTTGCAGCTTTTAGTTAATCTCAGGTTTGATTCTTCAACAGCATAGACTATGCTGAGCATAGTATATAAAGTTGCAACATACGATTGTTCGGTGGTTTAAAACCAGTTAAAATATCAAATAACTCTCAAGGTTTTAATGTATTTCAATCATCGCAGAGTTTTCTGACAGTTCAAGATGTAAAATTCTAGAATTACCCTCATAGACGGACAGGGTGACTAATTGAGGCAGGGTTTTCAATATTGTAATTTTACAGCATTAGATTCCAACACTATTTGTGTATAAAAGCTAAAATGCCTGCTAAATTATATGTGAAAGAGCCAATATATATAATGTTGCCATGGGGTGGCAACCTGCTAGTTTTGCTGCCTCTCAACTTTATCTAAACGTGACTTAAGTGACTCAATTTCAATCTGTTGAGGGATTGTGGTCCAGCTTAAGGAGTCATTTGCCAAGATTGATCCTCTATTGCTTTTTTTCCCGATTATCTATAGAAATTAGTATCACTTGCCATCTGATAATATGCATTAATAATGAACTTTCTGAGAATAATCTTTTGGGCGGTACGGTATAGTGTGGTTGTGATTATAGTTAAGTAACCATAGTTACTACAATTACTATAGTTGATAATTATAGTAACTAAAGCAACTATAGTAACTGTAGTCTTAAAAATTAAAGTTTTACAGCAGATAGCGATCTAGCAGTTTTTTATCGCCATATAGATTAGTACTTAAAACACACATTGAACTCTATACTCTTATACAGTGGACTAGAAAACTACTACTTCCACTACCACTACCCACTTTAACAGTACCACATACCTGATACCACGTCACCGTGACGTGACGTCACGCTTTCGTTCACTACTACAATAAATACCTTGATGAACCCTGAAATTTGATATTCGTGATTGATTTAATATGTCGATATGCAGAGTACTGTACAAAGTACACACATACAGGATTATTACAGGTATTTGGTAGGAATGTGGTTGGTTATCATGTACATTGTACATTGTACATTGTACACTGGTACACATGAAACTACGGTGATTCGTTACGGAAATCGGCTGATTTCGGCTAGTTTCGGCAATCTGCAGGAGATGTGCTGCAATAAATGCATTAGATTTGTAGTTAATGTAGTAATGATATAAATAACTTTATCACTAACTCTCTTATAATCAAAGTATATCCTATATCATCCTGCATATGATTACAAATTTGATTTAGGTAACAGGAAGATTCTATTTGTTAATACAGACGATTTGTACAGTTTAAGAATTTTAGCCTCTGATATAGAGCAGGATAGAACACATTTTTTTAGTTTTGTATACGTATTTATTTTTTCCGACTACTTATCAGATCTTTAAGATGTTCATTTATGTTCTATTTTTGGTTCGAATAAAGTTATATGATGTAATAAAAAATAATATGATTGTAAAAGACCTAGTACTACAAAGTTGACATTGATATAATACAATATATAGTGATAATAAATAAGAACAAATTGTAATTACTGTTCGTTTCAGTTCAACAAGCGTTTGTCAATAAACCTACCAATCAAGAGAGCCCAGGAGGGTTTTTACACACCCGAGGCGCAGTACCTTATCATAGATATCTACATCAGATACAACGACAAGTTAGTACATATTATTTTAGTTGCTAATGGTTACTAATGGTTACTAATGATTACTAATAGTTACTAAGCCCTTACTAATGGTTTCCATTTTATGATACAAATCCGAGAATTTATAGTTAGCATGAATTCCTTAGAATGCTTTTTTTTCTTTCTTATATTGGTCAGTAAGATAAAACCACTTTTATCTTACATTTCATCTTTTATTTTTTTCAAAAACGAAAGGAATATTTTTCGAACTCAACTTTTTCCTGAGTAATACTTATAACAAAACGTTTCATCAGGAGTAAAGCAGATGAGTTTATAGGACGAGTAATGAGCCCCACCCTCTACCTGACCCCCAACAAGCAGTGTTTAGAGGGGTTTGGGGGTGCAACCCCCGGACGAGATGTAACAAATCATCCTCGATTGAAGTACCACGTTACTCTTACATCTACCCCTTCAGTAAGTTTCGGTTTCAGTGAAAGTGACTGCAATGTACATACTAACTCAAGTGATGTGGATTTGTCTGCTAGGAATGACATTGATGTTGCTGACAGTACTACTTTATATAATACCCACTGTCACAGTCGGTACATATTTGTGGTTATAGTGTGTAGTTGATGTCTCAAATTACAGGATTTTGTCGGTTGGACGGGAACCCAGGTGACTCCTTTCGAAAACATGCAGTACAAGATTATAGTGAACGGAAATGTTGTTGATTTTCCCGGTAAGTATTCATTCCTTGTTTCAGGTAATATTTAAAGCAGAATCTAAGTCTTAAAATGTCACCTAGTGTGAGTAGAATTTGGATGAATAAATAAACCTTCAGGGTCATTTGAAACAGTCGAGTTGTACGTTCCTGGAATAGTTTCCGAGCTCTGTGATGAGCTGTATCAATCCAATGTTTATCTCACAAATTTTAGGTTTGTTCTACGTTTAATCAAGTGCCCCTACATATCTTTTTTTGATCCAAAGACGGTCTTCTCATAGCAATATTGTATGCCGCGAATAATATTTTTGTTATCTTTGTTGCGTTAAACGCACATGGTTCGCGCGCGCGCCCATGCATACTCAGTCGTAGGCTATCCATTATCGGTATGAAATCTTTTATCTAGATAAACAGATAAAGATTTAGGTTTTATCTAGATAAAACCGATAAAACCGATAATTTTTCTGCTGAAGGCCAAAGCCAAAATGTTTTTCCAAATTTCGCAAAAACTAATTGTCGACTTTTATTACTGTTTACCAGTAATCTTGCTAAAGTACCACTTCCTTTCTTTTGAAAATATTAGAGCATCAGTCTTCTTCTCCGGGGAGCAGAAGTGCACCAGTTTTCTTCAAAACAGTAGAGCATCTGTTTTCTTCTCCGGGGAGCAGAAGTGCACCAGTTCTCTTCAAAACAGTAGACTAACGGTTTCCTTCTCCTGGGAACAGTAACGCACTTGTTCTCTTCAAAACAGTAGACCCCACCAGTTTTCTTCTCCTGAGAACACTGGACAGTAACGCACTAGTTCTCTTCAAAACAGTAGACTACTGGTTTCCTTCTCCTGAGAACAGTAACGCACCAGTTCTCTTCAGAACAGTAGACCAAGGGTTTCCTTCTCCTGAGAACAGTAGTGCACCAGTTCTCTTCAAAACAGTAGACCACTGGTTTCCTTCTCCTGAGAACAGTAACGCACTAGTTCTCTTCAAAACAGTAGACCAAGGGTTTCCTTCTCCTGAGAACAGTAACGCACTAGTTCTCTTCAAAACAGTAGACCAAGGGTTTCCTTCTCCTGAGAACAGTAACGCACCAGTTCTCTTCAAAACAGTAGACCACTGGTTTCCTTCTCCTGAGAACAGTAACGCACTAGTTCTCTTCAAAACAGTAGACCAAGGGTTTCCTTCTCCTGAGAACAGTAGTGCACCAGTTCTCTTCAAAACAGTAGACCACTGGTTTCCTTCTCCTGAGAACAGTAGTGCACCAGTTCTCTTCAAAACATTAGACCACCGGTTTCCTTCTCCTGAGAACAGTAGTGTACTAGTTCTCTTCAAAACAGTAGACCAACGGTTTCCTTCTCCTAAAAACAGTAGTGCACCAAATACCAATTCTCCTCGAAACAGTAAAGCATTTAAAGTGATTCAGTGAACCGTTTTCTTATCCTGTTGATAACTTGGAGCAACAGATTCCTTCTCCTGAAGACAATGTTTCACGCCCAGAACACTTACGGAATTCAATTGAGTGCCCTGCCGGTATTTTTGACTCTTGTTAACAGTAACATGCTCGTTCCCGTCTCCAGAATGGTTGTAAGGTAAAACGCCAGCACCCTCAAGAGAACAATGTCAATAACTTTCTCTGGATTTCTACAGTTCATACAGTTCTACAGTTCCATAGGTATACAAATGTAAATAAACCTCTTAAGCTCACATCTAAGTAAACTACCTCTTCTATACTACTATACTAGTCTTCTATACTAGAAGACGTTTGGGACTGTTTCTTGGATTACTTGGGAAGGCAAAAACACTAATATTTCTTTACAATTTTACAGTGTTGTGGCAGTATTTTCGGTAATATCTAGTGAATTTTTATACCGATAAAAATATGTTTTATCTAGATAAACAGATAACTTTTTTAAACGAATTATCGGAGATAATTATCGGTTACGATTATCGGAGTGGATAGCCTACTCAGTCGGTCGCGTCAACGACAAACGAATGCCAGCTTAGTGCGAGCAATTAAATCCAGGTGGTCGCGTGCTGTAATTTGTTATTAATTTGTGTATCCGATTATTCTCACTTAAATACACGCAATACTGTGAATATTTGAAAATCTAATTTCAAACTCATATTTTGATCATGACACCACAGATTGGTGGTGATCCCCTTGAAAGATGAACACAAAAGACTGGCAAACTGGACTACGTTCTCGAACATATTGGGCATCACTAAATCTTACGTTCAGACGGTATGAACGAACCTTTTAGTGTTATAACCAACAGAAATGTCAAATGATGTCACCAGATATTTGAATGTCAAAGGTTGTGTTTGTGTTTGGTGAAACCCTGTTTTTCTCTGAACTGACGTTAAACAGGGCCTATATATTATACTTGAAAGTAAGCAATGTTTATTATCACAGGGCAGTAAGAAACAATGCTGTTACACCATTAAATGTGCTGATTGTAGAACGGTCAAGATATTTGTCCCAGACATGTCGCGGAGACAAAAGTTTAAAAAGCACATAGAGGACACCTTTAATGTGGTTGGCAAACAGCAGGGTGAGTGACTCTGAACATTCAGAAACTTTCCTGCTAAAAATTATATCATTATATGTTAGCTTCTTTTAATTGTTATCAGTGACTGTTAATTTCGCTATTGAATTATCCTCAATCTTTTGATAACGAAGCAAACCTAATATCACTTTAATTATTGAGTTTATTTTGCCACCAGGTGAAGATAAGCTGGTGATGGAGATGAAGACTCCCCCGAAACAGGAAAGGCCAAAAAGACACACAACTATTTCAGCCTTCCTTTCAGCAGACAACATTTGCTCAAGTGACGGGGAGGCAAACGAGGCGACGTCCCTTCAGGTTAGCTGATTCTAGAAGTTTCTGTGTTTTTAAAATTTTAATAATCAAGTAAAATTGGGTGAATTTACATTTTGTACAACTCACCAAGTTAACTTGTTCGTGACTGTAAACAAAGATAAATACACTTTTTAAGATAAAGATAAAATAAAATTCAGACAATTTCTTCAACAATTGTATCCAAAAGCACTCCACATAACATTGAAATTCCAATCCTGATAGAGGATTGTGGTTTTCGTATTCGACGTAACGTACAGTGTGAACTTGTAGTGGCTAACAAAGCTTGCTGAATGCGTCCACCGGGCTATAGAAGTCACATCAGCCTCCAGATGGACTGTAACAATAGGTACTTCAACAAACCCGCACTTGCTCACGTATATATCCAAGATAAGAAACTCCACCTGTCCATCGTTGTATCTTGTGTATGAAGGGTTGGGTCCTGTTTCTCCGGCACATATTGTAGCACAAGGTTCCGGTCTAAGAGAACCATATCTTGTGTTGACTATCTTCAAGTTAGTTTGAAGGGATGGAGTTGTTAGGAGGAGGATAAAGAAGGTCCACAGAAACTTCATAATGGAAGTTAGAACAGACGAGAATGAAAAATGTAGATAAAAATACCAATTTTATAGCACTTAAATAGGGACACGTTCAATGAACATGTCCCTATTGTTCATTGTTCACGGGACTCTAAACCAGATGTTAATCCGGGCATTACGTAAGCTACAACTGATGTCTTCAACGAAGCAGACAAAGGATTCTCAACTTTAACCACCTGTTATTTTTTATCGCTTACTCGACTGACACCTTTAATTGTTAAGGAGAGAGAAATTCGTTAAAAACCAATGATCATAAATATGTTAAAATACGGAAACACCTTTACCACCCATTTCATTGGTCAAGAAGAAATGACACTCGTTGTATTGTCAAAAAATAATAGTAAGGTTGCAGACATAGTACTAAATTTATTGTGAGTTTATGTTATGATTATCACAGATCCATATGTTAGATTTAGCAAGTTCTCTGCTTTTTGTGTTTCACGTCATCTGGTCATATTAATAAGTGAACGTTCGCATATTATAACTTAAGGCAGCCTAGGAGGAAGAGTATTTAGGAAAGTTGTAATTTATATACAAAAGCTTTGTGTAAGGAGAAGGAGAGGGTCTAAAATTGGAAAAATCTGGCTCACATACTTTAATAACACATAGTATGTTTTTATCTTGTATGTTTTTTTTGGGAATTTTCAGATGTTTATCAGTAATTTTCAGGGTATTTCAGACGAAGACGTGCTAGGAAACGATTTGTATTCTAATAGAGGTGGAGGTGAAGGTGAAGGTGTTCCAGCTGAGCGGCTATATAACACAGATGTGCACACGTTAAGACAAGTAAATCAATAATAACACGTGGTTAACACGTGGCAACCACGTGGTTAACACGTGGCAACCACGTGGTTAACACGTGGCAACCACGTGTTAACACGTGGATTGCAATTAATAACTGCTCCATCACAAGAACAGCATGTTAATGTTCATTGTTCCTGTTGAAGATGTAAGTGAATTTCACAAAATATATTTGGTTGGTCTGCCAGATGATTACTCGAAATGTTTCATATTTTCTGTTTGTTTAAAGGTTGAGTTTCCAGAGGATGGGTTTAGTGAGGACGACATGTTTGACCTGCCCACCTTTAAAGTTACTGGTACGGTTACACTATGATAACACTATAATTACATTGTAATTACACTATATTTACACTATAATTACACTATAATTACACTATAATTACACTGTAATTTCCCATTTGATAAACTCATGTGAAAGGCGCACTACAAAGCATGCGCACACGTCTTACATGCAAAGTTTTGAATGATTTTGGTTGAATATGTACTCAATTTCTTTTAAGATCAAATAAAAGTAAAATTATAACATATTCTAGATTTCTCTGACGGGGAATCAGTGGATAGTTTGGATGTATCAGATGACCAACCTCGTACCAGATTGTTTACTGGCACCAGTGTGTCCAGCTTTACAAGCTACCTCAGTGGTTATGGGGTGAGTTACTATAGAGTGATCGCAATAATATGTTTTTAAAAGATTGGAATTATAATTATTCAATTTAATCAGATGTGTTGAAGCATTCAATTGTTCACCAAGAGATTCCCCTTTTCGGTGGTACGGAATTTCTTATAAGCACTTCCACGGACAACCGTATTCACACTAATAAAATCATCAACCTGCTCTGGTTGGAAGAAAATCATGTGACCTAAAATACGCCAAAAGTCTTCCAGGGGATCAAAATCCAGTCAAAAGTCTGAGAACGAACCTGATCAAAAATCCCCCAAAAGAAAGATCCACTCTCACTCTAAGAAACTGCAGATGGATGCCCTACGGTTGCGGATACGATACCACCACTACAACACTACGTTGAGTGCCCCCAGTCACTCCTTGTTGAAGCAGATATCAGTGGAGAAGAGGGCGGGGTTTACTCGGTATAATCTTGATAAGGAGCACAATCGACAGGGTGAGAGTTGTGGGTTCGAATAATTAGCTGCTGCTTTCAAAGCTTTAAAAATGACATGTTGTAATAAATAATTTAATATCCAGCTTCGAACAAGAAGAATTAATTTTCAGCAATTAATTAAATTAAGCTCCTAACGGGTCCCTCTTTTTATGGTTATCTCTGTTTACTACCATAAGGCTGGGGTCCTAATGTACCTTAGCACGAAGTGGCACAGCGCCACATATTTCATATCCGCCACTATATCTCAGACGAGGATATATAACGTAACTTGGTGATATCCTAGGTGATATGAGAGGGTGGACGAAGGTGGACAACACGAACTACAGACAATGCAAATCCTATCCTCCTTTGTTCTACGTACCGGTCCAAGCTGGCTCTTCCCTTGTTAGTGTCATCATGTTCCGGTTAGTCAGAGAGATAGTTTCAGTAGTCTACTAGTCTTCGGTAATGTTCGATTATTCGGGACAAATGAGAGTCTCCACTCAGTGTAATAAACAAAATGTTGTCAAATAATCGAATATGATCGACCCTCTCAAAAGAGCGAAAAAAGATACCTATTAGTCTTCAGTAATGACAATGTTCACAAAATTAGTCAGATGGTTAACCATTATACCAAACCCTTTTAAAAGTTTTAACCTGTACTACTAGAGATGTGTTTAACCTCAAAACCAATTTGTGTCAGGTCGAAAGGGAGGATTCCGGCTCTTAGCTGGCTGAATAACTCAGGAGCGATTCTGATGCGAAGTGCACAGCCACGAACAGGCATCCTACAGAAAAACTGCAAAGAAGATGAACTCTTTCTGGAATCTGTGCAGACGCTCTCTAGAAATAAAAGTGGGAAAGAGCTCCCTTTCATGATATTCGATGCAAGGTTTGTTTTTCTGCCATAAATAGATCATAGATTACAATTTTATTCTTCATCAATTATTTAACAATTTTACTTAATTAGTTTTTACTTTTCTCTTCAGTAGATCAATGAAATTTTCGGTGTTAAAAATATATGTTTATCAATTTACATCTGATTTATTCATTTTGCAAAGAAAGTTTTATGCTGTGGATCATTGAAATGATCAGAATTGAAATTGTGCAGATAAAAAAAATAAAGAAATAACATGCACCATCTTTATCAAATCATACGAAAACCTAAAACAATTTACTTCAAGACTGCAATACTATGAAAGTCCACACTTATAACAATATTAGCGATCTCCTTTCCCTTCCACTTCATATAAACTGTCTGTTTCAACGTGCTGTCCTCCTCCGCAAGATCGAAATACCCTCCTCCTAGCATATCATCCTCACTTCCATAATCCCTGTCCTTCAAATAGAACTTTAGGATCATGTTTTTTGGGCTTCTTTCTGTTCTGACATGAAAAGACTGTTCCACTGAAGTTATAGTTTTGCTTCTCTTAGGCTCTGTTGCTCCGAGCAGCAAGTCGTTTGCTCTTATCTCGACAAATGGGTCTACTTCAGATCCTATATCGGTTGACCGTACGATGTTGTTGATTGAGTGGACACATATTCGCATGATTGTCTGTGGATCTAACGACTCTGCTCCGTTTATCTCATCCTGATCTGTGAACCGCACGTGTTTGCTCTGTGTTGCAGAGTTTGATTGTCCCATATTGCTGATGTTGATGTTGTGGCGGATAGTGAAATAAGACAAGGGAATGTTTATATGGAGAAGCAAGAAAAGGTTTTGAACAAACAATGAAATAACATATCCGGGATTCAGTCTACTTATCTAGAATTGATCAGATGTTTAATTTTAGAACTGCACTGTAAAATAATACCAGTTGATAATGATTGGTGCATAGTAAACAGTATGTAACTAGACCCTCAAAGATAAGCGTGACATTTGAACCGGGATAAAAATGAATAAGTTGAATTTTATAAATTCTAGCTCAGTTGGTACTTGATTTGACAGATGCAAGATATGGACTGACTGTGACCAACTTGATATAATTATATTAAAAAACGGCTTTTTCTTCTACATCTACCGTAAATTTGAAAAACTGACGTCAAACATATCAAATTTCTGACATCTTATCTTCATCGCTTCATGCTTCATTTAATTTCCTTAGTTTATCTAAATATTATTCATGTATTTTTAATTTCACCTAAAGTCCTAAACCAGGACAGATGGAAAGGCGAGATCACCAACATTAATTCTGTATTTCAGGTCTAAGATCGCAGCTAGAGGAAACCAAATGAAAGGAAAAGGAATGGAAAACGTCGCCAACTACGAAAACACAAAACTAAACTTCCTTGACATGGCCAATATCCACGCTATCCGGGACAGCTTCGAGAAAGTCACTGCTATGTGCAACGCTCCGAGCAACACCAAATGGGAGACCCGCCTGGAGCAGTCTCAGTGGTTACTGCACGTGCAGAGTGTGGTGCGCGGCGCGTATTTCGTGAGTCAGCACTTAGTGGCGGGTGGTGCGGCACTGGTGCACTGTTCGGACGGATGGGATAGAACGAGTCAGCTAACTTCACTGTCACTGTTACTAGTAGACCCTTACTATCGTACATATTCCGGCTTCCAAGTACTTGTTGAGAGGGAGTGGCTGAGTTTTGGGCACAGGTTCCACGACAGACTGGGTATGGCCCACCCCAGCCAGAAATCTCCAATATTCCTCCTCTTCCTGGACGCAGTCCACCAGTTCTTAGTACAGTTCCCTGACGTGTTTGAGTTTACTCAGGAGTACCTGACTGTTTTGTGTGACCTGTTCAGCAGCGGCTGGACCACTACCTTCCTCAGGAACTGTCCTCAAGAGCGATCCTCCGCAGACAGGCTCCAGCTGTGGGACGTGCTGGACGCCATGAGAACAGAGCTTACAAACGAGCGGTATTATCTTAGTACAGACCCTATAAACCCACGGGTATCACTCCGTCACATGGTGTTGTGGCGGGAATATTTCCTGCGATTTGATTGGTGGAGAGAAACGCTTGCGGAGGATCGACAGGGACCGGTAGTGTGGGTACCGGATCACGCCGTCCAGAATTGTCACCTCTGCCATGAGAGGTTTAACGCGCTGAAGTTCAAGAGAAAACACCACTGTAGATCGTGCGGGAATATTTTTTGCGGGAATTGTGCGAGTAAAAGAATTTGTATACCTCTGAAAAACTACACCACGCCTGTGTTGGTTTGTGATAAGTGTTATCAGGAGCACACGACATCTCCATAGTGATCACGTGATCTCCATAGTGATCACGTGATCTCCATAGTGACCACGTGATCTCCATAGTGATCACGTGATCAGTGATTGAAGCCAGACAATGATATTAGCTGATCATTGATTGTGTATTTTCTTACGAATTGTTTTTGTTTAAAAATCAGAATTTATTTTACAGACTGTTTAATTTTTCTAGCTGATTGATTTAGTTTAGTTTGGGAAATGTTTTGACGATGATAGTGTAGTTGTAAAACATTTTGCTGAAATGTTAAAAGTTTGTGGGTAAGATTTACGACGAATGAATTGCTGCAAGTTTTACTGCATGATTTAGTTATTAACTTCTGAGCAAACATTTGAGAAATAAAACTTCAAACTCATTCAATTCAATTGTAAAACACAAATTTTAAGTTTAGGCTATGAGCGTAGACTCCCGTATACAAAGTTAAAAAGTGGCGCGACAAGTTGAAAAACGCCACTTCAAAGGATAATAAGTCATAACATAACATAAATTCATAGCATAACATAATTAGCATAATTAATATTGCATAACTGATAACATAACATAATCCCAGAGATGACCCAGACACGATGCTTCGTGACCAATGTAACCTGATTCAATAACCGTCAACTGTCGTCTAGCCAGCTGAACTGATGGGCCCTATTACATGACGTGAGTATTCAATACTATATATTAATATATTCAATACTTACTTAGTATGTACTGTACATATATATATATATATATATTGAGTTACTATAGAGTGATCGCAATAATATGTTTTTAAAAGATTGGAATTATAATTATTCAATTTAATCAGATGTGTTGAAGCATTCAATTGTTCACCAAGAAATTCCCCTTTTCGGTGGTAAGCACTTCCACGGACAACCGTATTCACACTAATAAAATCATTAACCTCCTCTGGTTGGAAGGAAATCATGTGACCTAAAATACGCCAAAAGTCTTCCAGGGGATCAAAATCCAGTCAAAAGTCTGAGAACGAACCTGATCAAAAATCCCCCAAAAGAAAGATCCACTCTCACTCTAAGAAACTGCAGATGGATGCCCTACGGTTGCGGATACGATACCACCACTACAACACTACGTTGAGTGCCCCCAGTCACTCCTTGTTGAAGCAGATATCAGTGGAGAAGAGGGCGGGGTTTACTCGGTATAATCTGGATAAGGAGCACAATCGACAGGGTGAGAGTTCTGGGTTCGAATTATTAGCTGCTGCTCCCAAAGCTTTAAAAATTACATGTTGTAATAAATAATTTTATATCCAGCTCCGAACAAGAAGAATTAATTTTCAGCAATTAATTAAATTAAGCTCCTAACGGGTCCCTCTTTTTATGGTTATCTCTGTTTACTACCAAAAAGCTGGGGTTCAAATGTACCTTAGCACGAAGTGGCACAGCGCCACATATTTCATATCCGCCACTATATCTCACACGAGGATGTATAACGTAACTTGGTGATATCCTAGGTGATATGAGAGGGTGGACGAAGGTGGACAACACGAACTACAGACAATGCAAATCCTATCCTCCTTTGTTCTACGTACCGGTCCAAGCTGGCTCTTCTCTTGTTAGTGTCATCATGTTCCGGTTAGTCAGAGAGATAGTTTCAGTAGTCTTCGGTAATGTTCGATTATTTGGGACAAATGAGAGTCTCCACTCAGTGTAATAAACAAAATGTTGTCAAATATTTTTAACCCTCTCAAAAGAGCGAAAAAAGATACCTATTAGTCTTCATTAATGACATTGTTCACAAAATTAGTCAGATGGTTAACTTTTATACCAAACCCTTTTAAAAGTTTTAACCTGTACTACTAAAGAAGTGTTTAACCTCAAAACCAATTTGTGTCAGGTCGAAAGGGAGGATTCCGGCTCTTAGCTGGCTAAATAACTCAGGAGCGATTCTGATGCGAAGTGCACAGCCACGAACAGGCATCCTACAGAAAAACTGCAAAGAAGATGAACTCTTTCTGGAATCTGTCCAGACGCTCTCTAGAAATAAAAGTGGGAAAGATCTCCCTTTCATGATATTCGATGCAAGGTTTGTTTTTCTGCCATAAATAGATCGTAGATTACAATTTTATTCTTCATCAATTATTTAACAATTTTACTTAATTAGTTTTTACTTTTCTCTTCAGTAGATCAATGAAATTTTCGGTGTTAAAAATATATGTTTATCAATTTACATCTGATTTATTCATTTTGCAAAGAAAGTTTTATGCTGTGGATCATTGAAATGATCAGAATTGAAATTGTGCAGATAAAAAAAATAAAGAAATAACATGCACCATCTTTATCAAATCATACGAAAACCTAAAACAATTTACTTCAAGACTGCAATACTATGAAAGTCCACACTTATAACAATATTAGCGATCTCCTTTCCCTTCCACTTCATATAAACTGTCTGTTTCAACGTGCTGTCCTCCTCCGCAAGATCGAAATACCCTCCTCCTAGCATATCATCCTCACTTCCATAATCCCTGTCCTTCAAATAGAACTTTAGGATCATGTTTTTTGGGCTTCTTTCTGTTCTGACATGAAAAGACTGTTCCACTGAAGTTATAGTTTTGCTTCTCTTAGGCTCTGTTGCTCCGAGCAGCAAGTCGTTTGCTCTTATCTCGACAAATGGGTCTACTTCAGATCCTATATCGGTTGACCGTACGATGTTGTTGATTGAGTGGACACATATTCGCATGATTGTCTGTGGATCTAACGATTCTGCTCCGTTCATCTCATCCTGATTAGCGAACCGCACGTGTTTGCTCTGTGTTGTAGAGTTTGATTGTCCCATATTGTGTGTGTTGATGTTGTCACGGATAGTGAAACAAGACTAGGGAATGTTTATATGGAGAAGCAAGAAAAGGTTTTGAACAAACAATGAAATAACATATCCGGGATTCAGTCTACTTATCTACAATTGATCAGATGTTTAATTTTAGAACTGCACTGTAAAATAATACCAGTTGATAATGATTGGTGCATAGTAAACAGTATGTAACTAGACCCTCAAAGATAAGCGTGACATTTGAACCGGGATAAAAATAAATAAGTTGAATTTTATAAATTCTAGTTCAGTTGGTACTTGATTTGACAGATGCAAGATATCGACTGACTGTGACCAACTTGATATAATTATATTAAAAAACGGCTTTTTCTTCTACATCTACCGTAAATTTGAAAAACTGACGTCAAACATATCAAATTTCTGACATCTTATCTTCATCGCTTCATGCTTCATTTAATTTCCTTAGTTTATCTAAATATTATTCATGTATTTTTAATTTCACCTAAAGTCCTAAACCAGGACAGATGGAAAGGCGAGATCACCAACATTAATTCTGTATTTCAGGTCTAAGATCGCAGCTAGAGGAAACCAAATGAAAGGAAAAGGAATGGAAAACGTCGCCAACTACGAAAACACAAAACTAAACTTCCTTGACATGGCCAATATCCACGCTATCCGGGACAGCTTCGAGAAAGTCACTGCTATGTGCAATGCTCCGAGCAACACCAAATGGGAGACCCGCCTGGAGCAGTCTCAGTGGTTACTGCACGTGCAGAGTGTGGTGCGCGGCGCGTATTTCGTGAGTCAGCACTTAGTGGCGGGTGGTGCGGCACTGGTGCACTGTTCGGACGGATGGGATAGAACGAGTCAGCTAACTTCACTGTCACTGTTACTAGTAGACCCTTACTATCGTACATATTCCGGCTTCCAAGTACTTGTTGAGAGGGAGTGGCTGAGTTTTGGGCACAGGTTCCACGACAGACTGGGTATGGCCCACCCCAGCCAGAAATCTCCAATATTCCTCCTCTTCCTGGACGCAGTCCACCAGTTCTTAGTCCAGTTCCCTGACGTGTTTGAGTTTACTCAGGAGTACCTGACTGTTTTGTGTGACCTGTTCAGCAGCGGCTGGACCACCACCTTCCTCAGGAACTGTCCTCAAGAGCGCTCCTCCGCAGACAGGCTCCAGCTGTGGGACGTGCTGGACGCCATGAGAACTGAGCTTACAAACGAGCGATATTATCTTAGTACAGACCCTATAAACCCACGGGTATCACTCCGTCACATGGTGTTGTGGCGGGAATATTTCCTGCGATTTGATTGGTGGAGAGAAACGCTTGCGGAGGATCGACAGGGACCGGTAGTGTGGGTACCGGATCACGCCGTCCAGAATTGTCACCTCTGCCATGAGAGGTTTAACGCGCTGAAGTTCAAGAGAAAACACCACTGTAGATCGTGCGGGAATATTTTTTGCGGGAATTGTGCGAGTAAAAGAATTTGTATACCTCTGAAAAACTACACCACGCCTGTGTTGGTTTGTGATAAGTGTTATCAGGAGCACACGACATCTCCATAGTGATCACGTGATCTCCATAGTGATCACGTGATCTCCATAGTGACCACGTGATCTCCATAGTGATCACGTGATCAGTGATTGAAGCCAGACAATGATATTAGCTGATCATTGATTGTGTATTTTCTTACGAATTGTTTTTGTTTAAAAATCAGAATTTATTTTACAGACTGTTTAATTTTTCTAGCTGATTGATTTAGTTTAGTTTGGGAAATGTTTTGACGATGATAGTGTAGTTGTAAAACATTTTGCTGAAATGTTAAAAGTTTGTGGGTAAGATTTACGACGAATGAATTGCTGCAAGTTTTACTGCATGATTTAGTTATTAACTTCTGAGCAAACATTTGAGAAATAAAACTTCAAACTCATTCAATTCAATTGTAAAACACAAATTTTAAGTTTAGGCTATGAGCGTAGACTCCCGTATACAAAGTTAAAAAGTGGCGCGACAAGTTGAAAAACGCCACTTCAAAGGATAATAAGTCATAACATAACATAAATTCATAGCATAACATAATTAGCATAATTAATATTGCATAACTGATAACATAACATAATCCCAGAGATGACCCAGACACGATGCTTCGTGACCAATGTAACCTGATTCAATAACCGTCAACTGTCGTCTAGCCAGCTGAACTGATGGGCCCTATTACATGACGTGAGTATTCAATACTATATATTAATATATTCAATACTTACTTAGTATGTACTGTACATATATTTAATATTTAACACTGTGATATTACTTGGTAGTATTGTACCTATAAGGTAGGTATTGTAGGGGAATTGTACCTATAAGGTGACTAGTGGATGCGCTTACAGGCGCTATATTTCTTCATTAACTATATCTTTATGCAGCTGTCCAGTCCTTACTCCTTGTGTGACTGTCATGTTCCACTTAGCGATTGCTTTTATGAGGTCCTCTATATACCTTATATGTAGTAAAATAATATATATTATATAAACTATATTCTCTATACATACTTTATATGCTCTATAATATATAAACTATATATTCTCTATATAAACTCTCGGAACATGTCAGGTATCCCGAGAGAGGTCTTATATTAGCCTGCTGTGGGATTGCAATTTGCTTATTAAAATCTCGAAGTCATTAATCTCGTGACTCCCATTGTAGAGATTATGCTCTTGGTGTTGCCCTTGTATATTTTTGTATGTTTTCGGCTTATTGCTAAGCTGTGTTTTTTGTCCAGCTTTTCAATCTCGACAATAAGACCCTATAAGTATAATGTGATGTGTCACGTGATGGTGAATTTGTTCTAGCTCTTGGCGTTGCCCTGTATACTTTTTTTTCTATTATCATTGCCTAGCTGTTTGTATTTTTTCAGCCCTCTTGGCACGGTGTTGCCCTTGTATACTTTTGTTTCTGTTTTCGGCAAATTGACGCCTGGCTGTGTGTTTTTGTTCAGCTTTTCGGCCTCGATTATAAAAGTCAAGATTTTTCTTGAAGTTCAGCAGATAATTTGAGTTGGGATGATCACTGATTAGTGTTGTGTCAAGAAACAGTGGTATGGATTTTGTGGAACTTAATTTCGAAATTTAAGACTTAAAACTCTAAATGAGTCGTCAAAAAAGATGAGATAACTGATGGGTTCCCAGACTACAGTCGTAAATATTGAACATCTTGAACATCTCTGTATTCTTACATAGCCTGTTATTGGCTATTGCCGGTATTCTTTCCTTAGATATATAAAGTAATAATTCACTCAAGCTTGCTTCGTCTCGTCATACAAACATGAGGGTCAGATGAACCAGACAGGTTCAACAGAGTACTTCTTGCATTCCAGGCAGCTCAGCGACAGTATTGTCTTCCACAAAAAGTTAGGTACAGATGTTACAAAATTCTAAGCCAATTTGTAATGACGCAATGTTCGGATCTTTCTCGAACAATCCTTGACCGCTCATGTCTCACAGATCATCATACATAACCTTTATATCGGCGGGGTATTTAATTCATGGTAGTAAGTTCAAAGTTCAAAGTTCATAGTTATTTGATACTGTCTGTGATTTCAGATTTGTAAGTAAGTTTTGTGCTTCACCTTCATTTTGGTCTCGTGTTAACACAGTGGTATCGGTCTTATTTTCCTCAAATGATCGTTAAGCTATCACACTAATGTTAGCTTACTGAGGATGGTTGTCGTTATCTATCGTAACATCTGCTTCCATCTGTTAAACATCTGCTACCATCTGTTTCATCTTAACTAATTTGATAGCATGTTTATTAAACCTGCTAAATGTGATTTTGCTCCGTGATGTGCTTTCAAATTGCCTTTTTACTTCTAAAAAGGTTTGGCTTGACTGATTCGACTTAATTCTAAGCCAAATTGTAACTGTTTAGACTTTTAGACAATATTTGAGTATTTGAAATTTCTCGGACAATCCGTGCCCACTCATTTCTCACAGATCATCAACCCGTTCTCTGAGTTCTGACCATTACTTTTACCGCACCACCTGCCGGACGCGAGGTATTATAGTTCTAAGTTCAAAGCTATAACACCTATTTAGTTATTTGATATAGCGTCTTTGATCTGTAAGTGATTACTATGCTTCAGAGTTTTCCTAAAGGTCACGTGATACCTCAGTGGTATCGGTTGTTTCCCATCCTATAAAGCTAAAGCTGAGTACAACTTAGGCTCACACACTAATCTAATAGTGAGCTGAGAGTGGTGTGAAGTGTCCGTGATGATCGTCATGATCATCATCTTATTATCTCCCGGCTGCTGCTTCCACCAGTTTCAACTTTGGAAATATGGCTGAGAACCGTGATCCCTATTCTTGATGTGTCTAGACTATGTGTTGTGTACGTTTTGTGTCGTGCATATTATATTGAAATATTGGGAATATTATTCTTTAACCCACCCAGAATTAAAATCTGACTGCTTATGTTTTTTATTTCTATAGTTCTTAGAAAATTATTAGGAGATCCGCGACGCGCGAGTCTACACAAATTGTGCTATCGCTTGTAATTTGATTTTTATTTTTAGAGTCGGATGTTAGCGTGTTAATTGAGGATGGTGTCTGACCCATGTGTAAACAGTTGGACATAATGGACTAGTACACTAAAATTACTCGCATAAGTTAAGGTGAGGGTGTAATTTGTTGTGATGTCGGAGCCTCAAATCGTTCCTAGATTAACTTTAATTGAAATCCGCTTTAAAAGAGGAATTTGAGGTTCCCAAAGAGATTACGTTAATGGTTATTGCTATTTTCTCCTATGAATTTAAGATTGTATTTCTATTATTCTGCAGTTTGTTCCATTCTGATTGCATTTCAGATTTCCCCCCGAAGGAGAAACATTGGTATGTGATATAAAGCGTCTCCGGAAATTACACAGAAAATTGAATCTTGCACACCTCTCTCCAGCGGAGAATTTGATTATGTCGACTATAGTTTGAGCTGTTGAGCTGTTGTAGTTAGTTATCATCCACGTCACTTCTCCTCTCTCACTTTGCTATATTTAATGCTTAGCTCAGCTGCGGTTTTTGTTAATTTATTGACGTTAGCCAAATCTGAATCTTACCTCCAGAAGGATTTGATTACGACGACAATTATAGTACTAATAGTACGAGTCTTGCACTCTTCAGTGTAGTTTGGGTTTTAGTTATATAATTTCACCACGTCATGAATTATATCCCTTTATCGAGTTTTCAGTTACTCAGCTGGTGAAATGCTATTTCCCTTCTGCTTCTGCATATTTCAAGATTTGTTTATTCCTTTGAATCAACCTTAACTTTTAGTTAAGCTACTCAAATTTTAGTTTAAGTAGGCACAAGGTACATACAATCCACCGATTGTGGTATTTAATACATCTGTAGACATCAAATAGTAACCCTACTGATTATCCAACACAGCAGTGAAACTTGATAACCTTGTATTGCATGGTTATCAAGCCAAAACATATACTCTTTTCACAAGTTGCAGCATGGTGCTTGCTGTGTAATTGTTTCGTAATTCGTTTATCAGTTATTGTTTATCAGTCGTTATTTGGTCACATGTGAAACTGAAATGTGTGTTTTGCACTGAATTTTCTGTAGAATATTCGGTGGTTGCATTTTCTGTTGATAATCTTCGTTCACTGCTTGTTATTTGTTTATAGGCATTGCAGTGGTTTAAATTAGAGAGTGGAGATCCTAAAATTATATAATGCTCACGCTTAGTTTTTGAATTTCCACCGTTCAGCGAGCCAGTATTAATTACACAATTTTTTCTTCTATTTGTTCATTTTTCGTGAGATCTTTATTCCATGATCTTACAACTTCAAAATGTGTAATTTTATACACTTGCAATTTTGTAATAGTTGGCCTAAAAAACTATGAAACTGGATAATCTTATTAATCTTGTATGTGTTTCAGCTCACAGCTGCTACCGTTACGTTTCTTAATTTTTATCTGAATTCGTGCCAGTTGTGAGAGTCACATACAAATTAAACGTCGAATGTTTGATTTAAAGAAGTCACATACTGATCCCTAGGAATAATCTATCTTGTGCAGTGATTCCACTTTTTTACTTCTAAAGCCCCCGAAAGTTTCCAATGCCCTGCTGAGTGTTGCTCAACTTGTTACGTTGTTCTTCAGTGAGAATTACAGCACGCATTGTTTGAGATATTTATTATTTATATCATAACAACAGTGAACCGTCTTAAGGATGGGTTGGTGTGGGGGGGGGGGGGGGTCCAACCCCTTTTGTCCATTTTCTCCAAGACGACCAGATTTTGGCGAAATGGACAAAAATGGACATATTCTGATGGGAGGTGAGGCATATTTTTTGGCACGTGACAGTGATTCTGGGGTTTGATTGGTCGATTGTAGTAGCTGATTGGTTCATTGCTGTCACATGTCAAAAAACATACCTCATCTCCCCGTCAGAATCCACATTTATGACTCATATCTTCTTCCGTCCTACAGCTCGTGCGAGCAGATGAAACATGAGTGAAGTCAGGAGAAGGGCCCCCCAAGAAGGAGTTGTAACTCAGCCAGAGGTAAGCTGTATAATGTTTAATTTCTAATTTTCAGTTTTTAAATCTTTTAATTTGTTATTTCAGGTACCAAAACTTGTACTTTGTAATTTCAGTTTGTATAACTTACAATTTGCGATTTATATTTTTGGACAAAAAATCGTGATCATATCATAAATAATCCCTCCGAATATCCTACATCTTATTTTTCTCACGCAACTAATAACAATCAAATAAACTGGAAGTAGACACCCCTGAATAGAAGACACTCCTGAATAGAAGTGCACGTTTAAACGTTTACTCTTCTCTAATCTCTTCTCTTTTCTAATCTGTCTGCCGACTCTAGATACGGTATCCTCCACTTGATAAGAAGCACCCACTTGCGCTGATTTACTGGTAATCGCCCAGGATTAACAACTTTTGTTTAGATTAAGATAACGTGCATTAAACTGGGTCCAGACGCTCCTTGATTTGAGGTCCCGTTCCGATGTAATCCTCAATATTTTACAAATTGCTATGCCGCTCTGAATTTTACCGTATGTTAGATGGACACGCCCAGTTTTTATTTGAATAATTTTTTGTCGTGAGCTATTTGCTCTCAAAGACTTAAGTCTGACAAAGTAATTGAGTAGATTGTGACATTGAAATCATTTAACTAAATGACTTGGTAATTTGCTTGTAAATTCAGGAGCTCTTTTTAATTTATCAACCCATCCCAGTTTTGAGAAGATTATATTTTATTTTTCTATTTGTTGTTGTTAATTTGTTAGTTTGTTTTTTATTTGTTAAACCTTATGTTATTATTGACCATATTTTTTTACCCAACTTTTCTTGGTTTCTTATCTTAATTTTGTATGTTCCTTTCACTTACTAGACGAGTACACGCTTATTTTTTAATCATTATTCACATATGACCCATGTCCCATAATACATATTACATAATATGACCCATGTCCCATAATACATATTACATAATATGACCCATGTATTTCTACTGAATCATTACTTTAAATTTGTCTTCTGTTTAGATGCCTCCTACAATAGCTTTATAAAGATACCTCAATTTGTTATTGATGTCTATCAAAAACAAAAGTGGTATTTGTCAGTGTAAGAGCTTCGCCTCTCCCACAGTCCCACAGTCCCACACCACATACTTTAACTTAAATATCACTAACATCTCAAATATCTCAAATATCTCATAGTTTAACCATTTGTCACCTACACATGATATTAAAACACGGTGAAGACATTTCTGAATTACAAAATGTAATCTGGATTAAGTATTCAGTAACCCAGGCACGAGCAGTCTCGCAGTAATCCAGGTGATATTTCGTCAGTGTTTTGTAAGGCTGCACAGTGCATGAGTATCGTAAATTTTATGCACCCCACTGCAGCAAAAGAATTTAACAAAAACGTAGGAATTCATTTTCGATAGATTTATTATTTCCAGAAAGCCCCATAAACCTTAGGACTATTGAACTGCCCGACAGTACCCAAAATAAATATTATATAATATTATAACCAGCGTCACGTACAAAATTAAATAAAGTTATTTAAGGTATCAATCTAATATATTATATAAGGCCGGATTACACGAGTGAATTACATAAATCAGAACACTGCTATTTAAGTCGGGATCACTTATTGTGCCGCACTTATTGTGCCTCAATTATTGTGGCTCACTTATTGTGCCTCACTTATTGTGCCTCACTTTTTGGCACTTCCATCACGGACTTACAGCTCACAGCTCCACACAGCATTAACACCCTCTAAGTTTCGGTAAAGTCTGGGTAAACCCCTAATTTACAATAAGACTTGTGTCCCCATTGTCGATATTAACTGTTAAACTCATTACACGACCAAACAATGAACATTTTCTTGTTATCGCTGGAAGACAATCGGAATTGATTAACATTCTCAAAATACCTGACACCTGCCGCGCTGCTCCTGGAACGCTGCTCCTGGAACTGCGTCAAAGTTCCACGAGTCTGCGCTTCAACAACCCCACCCACATGACCGGACACCAACCCTGCCAAGTTCCCCCCGACAAATATAAAACCCTTTTCATCCATCACTGGATAAAGTGTAGCAATTGTTAAGAGAATCCCTATTAAATATTAATACTCCAGTGAAGCTCGGGAACGAACTATTGTCGGCTGAATAGCTCAATAGCAGTGTAGTAAGGTAAATGTTCTGGTATGGTTTCCTTCAATGATAGTGCAGATTGTATCCCCCGTTGTCATGGTAACCCCTGACCCTCCTAGTCCAGCTGTCTCCTACATTTTTTGGTTAAAACCCGCAACTCTTCTCTGAAGCTGAGCAGCGTGACGCACCAGAAGGTTTAACAACGGCTAACGAACTATACGTTCTAGACACAGAGCTGTCATGTTGTCATGTTGTCATGGTGACAGATCGTATCTAGATATTATCCTATTATATCCAGGACTCAAAAGGAAGGTGAACGGTAAATCGTTGGGTTTTATGCGATCCTCAATAATACCTGCTACTTGCAGCTGTCGTGACCTCCGCCGCGTCAGGATTCAACTGAATTGGGGGAAGCCCTGGTCTACATCATAGCGGGGAAATGTCACGTGGTATCCCAACAGTCACGTGGGCGCCCACGTGCTCCTTCCCTTGTCAGATGCATTCCATCTGAAATCAGATTATTTCCGAGGATTGTACGTCGGTCCTAGCTGCTCCCCCATTTGTCCTGATCGAGTTTGCAGGTATTATTATTGCTCTTTGCTTGTTGTACTGTGACGGCTTGTCCTACCCTTTGTCTAGAGATATTGGCTGAAGTTTTGTGGTGTTTCATATCAGTAGATAGCAAGATAGAAGTCCTGTTACCAAGGTAACAGCAGATGGTGGTATCCCTCCGCAAAATATGGGGCGGCGGCCGAAAATTCAGTGCTACGTTTGTGAGTTTGCTGAACACCAGTGGAGACGGTCGAGAATCAGTCAGTGTCACCTACTCCCCCAACGAAACGGTTAGTTCCTATGTATTTAATAATTCTCCTTGAAAGGAACTGGGTGTGGCGAAGGTAAAGGCTCTTAATTTTAATTTTTTAGAAACTATTTTGTCGCTGCCATAGTGAGAATACTATCTCGACTCGACGTCTATGATTATCCATAAAACAATCAAAAGTATAAAGCAAAACGTTCTTTTTACGACTAAGAATAAAATACCTAGTCTAGTCTAGTTTAGAGTTTAAACATCAGCTGGCTAGCTGTAACCTGGATAGACTTAACTATTTTGGGGTCAAGACATATCATCTCTCGGTAATCGGTATGTTTAACTAGGTGTTGGGGTCATGATCATATGTTGTACACGAAATTGTTTGTAGAATTGAAGGAGGGGGGGGGGGGCACATGTCTGAAAAGTTCTCAAAAATCAAGATATTTTAAGCTAAGTCGAAAAATCGTACACCACTGTGCAGTGGATATTACCTTTTAATTTAATGTATGAAGTCTAGACAACCAATTTGAGATCAACATTTTAAGCAGTTTCATGACAGAATAGTTTATAAATAATCATATTATGATGCACTAAAATTCATAAATGTCTAGTTGCATAAAATTATTTATAATTAAGCTGTGATATCAGAGAATCTTTTCTGAAGTTAAGAATATTTGTACAATTCGTTAAATGAGTAGATGCCTTCGCAGTATATAATTATAAATACTATCGTAACTTCGTTATTCTCAATTGTTTCTTCTGAGTATGAACAGCGAAGCTTTTAAACTTTTAAAGAGCAGCATTTCTTAAAACTTTCGAGTATCTCGGAATATTTGGGAGCAAATACCTTTAATTCGCATTTTAGTGGACCTTATATTCGTGCCCGAAAGCTTATAATGTACATTTTCATTATATCTACTTACAAAATAGTTAGAATTTATCTTGCTCTTATTGCATCATTTCTTAAATCTAAGTATCATTAATAACAAATGATTACTAAAGGGCCACGATTATTTTTTGAACTTTTGTACTAGTTCATAGTACGTGAAGAAAGTTTGATGAAAGCTTGAAGACTGGATTGGTTTTTAATTTGTAAAAGCAATCTGAATAAACTAGGCATCAGCTATTTCATTAATTACAATGGTGATCATGCGAATATTTCAAACATGAGGCAATCCCAATATGCATGGTTTGAGGGGGTTAAAGGTCGATTCAGTTTGCAAGTTCCGTCCAAATTTTGTCCAAATGTTTGATTTATGAACCAACGTCCGAGTATACGTCACTGTATACGTCACTTTCTCTCACTCAGTAACTTTTTTCATCCAGATTTTATCGCATTTCGCCGTAAATTTGAGGATAGCCTAATCAAAGCAGGGGCTTGATACAAGGAATAAGGAGAATTAGTATAGGAAGTTGGTACATTCTTTACATTTTTATTTTTCATAAAACAAAAGGTGGTACCTTGCCATAAGTTCCATAAGTTTCGATCCCTACTCGTGGATAGTATCTGTCCTAATTAAGTCGTGGTCACAATTAGCGAATATGATTGTTGAGGCTTTCTAATCATGCCATCCCTCTCTTCCTCCGCAAGACTTTCACAGACATTAATTCCCCCGCAAGAGCTCTCGTCTACCTTCTCCCTGTCATCCTGTCAAGGTGAGCCTTAAAACCTTGTGTGAACGCACTAAACTGGTGCTCTGCCCCTCATTGGCTAACCCAGCCGCCTCTTTCTCTCTTATTGGCCAACACACGAACAAGGATCAAAGATCTAGTTTAATCACTACATCGCTCCACATTTCGTGACATAGCTATATAACAGTAGTGTACCATGACCCTCTTGCACATATCTCTACCCCCTCAACGTGTAGTAGTGGTATCAATGCAGGTCTGACGACCACTCCCCCAGTTACCCTGTCTCTCTTGATCTCTGTTGATCTAGTTGGGGTTGTGGTTGTGGTGATACCGTTTAACCAACACGTGTTGGCCCGGTTCTTCCAGACAGTATATCTATTGTGCTGCCTCCCCCCTGTCACTCACACCATTGGTTTGCTCCGCTGCTAGTTTGAGAGACTGTCGTGAGCTGGTTATTCGAGATTTTCGTTCCTGACCGAAGGAACTGTAGATTTGCCTCTTCGTGATATCTCGTAGGTCTGTTGCAGGTTGTTCGTCTATTAAGGTACTTCAGAGTGAGACTCAACAAACCTTGCTTCTTGAACACGTGGTAACGTGTTGCTTTTAGAACGGACGAAAGTTGTCTCGATGGAAAATTATGTTACGTCTGATATCAGCTTAACTACTATCACCTTGACTGGAAATAAACAATCTGATGATCCGTCCCAAGTTAATAATACCATCGAGCTCTGTTCTCCGTCCGAAATAGCTGTTGCCTTGGAAACAACAGAACACTTGTTGGACAATTGCCATGGATCAGCCCCGTCTGATGAAGAGAAAGAGAACAATGAGAGTCATCCTGGGAGGAGACAGAAACTCTGGGTTCCTAAATGGATCAGGAAACACTACAGATGTTACGAGGAATTTGTAAGTACTACGCGTTTTAACATGTACCTTGTGACTTTCATAATTTGATATGAGCCCTTTGTAAATTAGATATTGTGCGGGATTTACCTGGTTATTTAGATCTTAAGAAACATAATACTCATCATGTGGGAGCAGATCCTTAGCTGTACATGTATTTTGATATTATTTGTGCCTTAAAAAATTAATAACTCTTTTTAATCCGTTTGCAGTATTGCAGATTCGCACTTGTTTCTCTCGCGTGCCTTCCGAATATTTGTTATTAATATTCGAGCTTTTCGTTTGGATTAAAACAAGTCCTTCATATTACGGAGCCAGGGTGTGGACTGGCTAAACCTGGTCAAAACACCCCCATCCCATTACATAATGCTCAATAAATATATTTATATGTAGTTGTGAAAATTGTTTGATATGTTTACTTTTAACCTTTTTCTGATTCATCTTATTTAACAAAGTATTTATTAGAAAAAGAGATGGTTTAAGGTGTAAATCACCGTACTTTAATCTCGGATTAGAAAAGATTTTATCGGCGAAAAAGATACACATTTCGTTAAAACTTAAAAGTTGAATTGTGCGAAAGTAAGTTTCCCAGGCAAGGAAGAATCAAGAGTTCGGATATTTAAATCCAATAGATCAGTATCTTTAACCGTAATGAAGTTCTCATGGCCACGTCAGACACCACCGTGATGCGGGTGATTAACACTGATACATGCTGTTACTCCTACAAATCACGAGGTGACTTGAGATCTGAGAGAAGGGACATTGTTGCTTAGTTACCACCAAGGCCTGTATCCGTAATGCTCACCTGAGTTTGAGTTCTCCAGTAAACATCTTATTTTGCTTTCGTTTTATGTTCCTTATGTTTTTTATTTCAAAACTCGAATAAATTTTACTTTAATTTATTACAATAACATTTACACAAGACCAAAATATTAACAATGAGGTAATTCAACATGTTTAAGATGGGAAATATTGCTGCAGTTGGAGTGAGAAAAATGTTTGTAAAACATTAGTAAAATCTATTTCAGCTAACATGTTACATGATGTTGCTGTTGTGAATATGACATATTGAGTTGTGGTTACCCGTTACACACCCGTTACACACCCGTTACGGGAACTAATATATACTATATAGGGACACATCATTGTAATGTAGCGTAAATTCTTTAAGATTCCACATTACGTATTGAGTCTAACAGCTGGGCGTGGTGTTGTTAATAATCAATAATGGAACTGAGACTGTTAACATTGCCAAGATATTTCTCTGTAGTTCTGGCTATTCTGAAGAAACTGCCACGTTCAGAGTTTATCATAGAACAACATCACAATTGGGCACAAGATATTCTAAAGAATCTCAAAAATTATAGATTAATTCTTTAAACGATGTCTTTCAACGAACAATAGATCGATCATGGTACAAGTCCTTATGTATCGTTAGCCTCTCAACTATGCTCTGTTCACAATCAACCTTCTTGGATAGACTTTATAAAGTCTATTCTATAAATAGAATTGCCGACTTGATGCTGGACTAAGAGGTTAGTTGTCCAGAGACCAGCACTTACCAGCACTTACCTGCAAGTTCATTGTTTTACGCTTACAACTGTAAATAGTCCAACCTACGAACACTATCCATTAAATAGCTTCCATTGTACTACCGTTTAGTATTATTACGTTATATCCCCCTCAGTGATTACTGATTACGTTATATTATGTGAGTGACCCCTAACCTATAATTTCCCAAACACTTGACTGCCGTTTATAACTCGGAGGTGGAGCCACTATTTTTAATACCTATTAATTTACGCGAATAGCAGACAGTTACCTGATTTAGTAGTTACAGTGAGATCACCAGATTATCGCAGTTCGCAGAATCTCCGGTTCACTGATTATTGAGGACTACCTCGAGAAATGTAATCAATATTCATTTAATACTTTTAAGATGAACCGAACCAAAATGTCGAACACTACCAATTATGTCATACCAATTGCCTAAAACGAATGCTTGGTCGCGAGAGATTAAAATGGCGTACCATCACCACAAAATTCTAACCATTTCCTCGGGACCCAGCCCGAGTTTTATTCTTAAAACAAGAGTATCACTTGATTTTAAAATCACAAGGCTGGGCAAGACCGCTCACATGATGGCTACTCCGCTGGTCACACCTTCTAGTTACCATGATTGTGAATTTACCCTATTTTTCGAATAGTATCAAGTATCATTTACATTTTTAAGTGACCTCGTGAAATTTATTTCATTTTAATTTATTGAGGTTTCAAGCCCGTGTCGGTAGGCTGTGTCTACCGTTTTTAAAGCTTTTATTTACTTTCATTTTGCTTTCATTTTGCTTTCATTTTACTGTTATTTGCATTTTTATTTGTTTACTTATTTCATGGAAGTTGAGGTAAATTTGCGAAACTGAATTTTTAATTATTATGGAGTTATTGTCAGCATTCACCGAATTTGATCTATAAATTTGGACTATAAATTTGGACTATAAATTTGGACTATAAATTTGGACTATAAATTTTAATTAGTTATTGCTAGTGTTTAGATTTAAAACCACTAGGAAAAACCAAGTCCGCTGTACTCCTAGAATACTAGGAATCATATTGCTCATCACTAAGAACAGGTCTTACGAAACGAATCGGACCGTGAGTACATTATGAATATGTATCAGCGAATTTTGAACTCAGTTAATCAACACTCAGTTTATACTTTTATACAACACTTTTGTCAGAACATGAAAATGAAGCCAGATATGATGACATACTTTAATTCAGATCGAAAGGATTAATCTAAGAATTCAGAGAAGGTCTCTTTAACGGGTGGTTCTATCATAAAACAATATTCCATCAGCGAATATTTTTAAAATTCGAGAGCTTGTGGGGTACAGAGAAGCAGGCCTCGACTTTTCGTAAAGAGTTTACAGTAGATGTTGCTAGAGCACTAAGCTCCCCACCCTCCCCCCCCCCCCCCCCCCCCACCCCCCTTATGGTGATATAATTCATACAGAACTTGCAGAGATATAGCCCGTAGTTTAGCAAAATCACTACATACAAAATAATAGACAACTGCACAGATCATACCACCAATTCCTTCGTAACTAAAATTCCCTCGTAACTCAAATTCCCTCGTAACTCAAATTCCCACGTTTCTTTTGTTCCCATACTTGGATAAGAGATTTAATAAGATCTGTTCAGGCCACATAAGGAGCAGCATGCAGTGAACATCTAGATTAAATTATGCAGAATCTTTAGTGTAGTTGATATGGCCTGATATTCTCATTTTTCTACTTAGTTTGTAGTTGGCCACGTATTCATAATGCGTTTTTTCTACCAGTTTAGTTGTAAATTTATGGCCCCGGCACCGTGACCCGCATTATGCTTGATTTTTTTTCCTATCGCGTTTTTGGATTTACCTCTCAATTCAAAATTCACAGTTCGAGTCTCGCTAATATCAGTATATTTTCAATAATCACCTCGTGATTAATATATTTCCGATATAATTTATCGACATATTGATTATCTGTTCACCGTGTTCGGTGATGTACCGACAAGCAGCCGCCCAAAGCCGTAATTAGCCAATCATTTTCAATGGCATTGGCTGATCAGTGATATCCCTAAAATATGCCGATTTATGTCTACAAAATTTCCAACTCATTTTAACTGGGAAAATTTCTTGTGGAAGATGCTGTACAATTCAGTATACGCCATGTTTTAAGACTGAAAATCGCCAACTTTAAAATTTCGAAAATTCCAAAACATTTTTTTTCCTTCTCTACTATTTCTTATCTATCCTCCTTTTCAAATGGATTGTGGAGCTAAGCTGGCTCTCATACTTTGCGATTATATGCGAATATGCGAATATGCGAATATGCGAAGTATGTTGATTTTTACTTTTCACCTCGTTAGACCAATTTGAATCATGTAAGCCGCGCTGTTGCCCAAATTTGCAACGAGACTTCGATAAGGTACACAGTTTATTACTGTTTTGTGGAGTAAAAATATAACTTCTAACATCGAATATTTTACTTAACATATTGTTTTTTCCTTTTTTTAATCCTTGAACAGTACAATAACTTTCCACTTTCGATTATCGTTGCTTTTGATTATCGCCTGTTGTTGCTAAAGAATGTCTAAATCTGCTGTCTACGAAAATACAAACGTGACAAATGGAGGATCAGATTTCCAAACTGAGTCGGGAGAGATAGAAAGAGAGTCGGGTGTGGTAACGAAAGAAGTACGTTTAATGATCGTATTGTTACCGAGTTTTAATTAGTATCGACTGGATGTATTTGTTTATTAGCTATGGTGATATTCTCGGGTAGACTTGTAAATCGATTTCATCTGTAATAGCAATTCTGCTATAACCGAATGGGAACAAAAGTTTTTTAATTACTTTTTTTTTCTTCAGTAAGCCATGTCGTCGAAATCATATTACCTAGTTGATCATTAAACCAATCAATACTTAATACTTACCAGTTTCACATGCGATTGATTTATTGCTCTGTTCTTGACTCCATTAGTGGATAAAATAATAAATTTACAATCAAACAGTTCTTATCAATTAAAGTGGCTCAATAACGTCATATTTACAGAATACATCAGTCGAAGAAAAAGAGAAGAAACCAGTAGCTTCCAGATGTTCTAAAATAAACAGATGTAAGTTTATTTAAAACTATGACATTTTCCAGACCATATTATCATTTTGTAGAAGAGAACTTAAAGAAGAGCTATTAACAGTTTACCATAATATTTATATCACAAAAAGGAAACAGAAATCTCTTCAAGACACATCTCTCTAGTCTCTGTTCAGCTTAAAACTCACAATTTAGTTCCTATTCAATTGAAATGACTGAAAAAAGCACCCAAAAGTCAACTACCAAGTTAACAACCTAAGTGCCTAAGTGGCTCTATAACTCCCTATACACAAACAGCTCAATAGACCTTTATTTTAGTGTTGATACTGCTGGTAGCAGTACTACTGATAACAGCTCAATAAACCTTTGTTTCAGTGTTGATAGTGCTGGTAGCAGTACTACTGATAACAGCTCAATAAACCTTTGTTTCAGTATTGATAGTGCTGGTAGCAGTACTACTGATAACAGCTCAATGAACCTTTGTTTCAGTGTCGATAGTGCTGGTAGCAGTACTACTGATAACAGCTCAATAAACCTTTGTTTCAGTGTCGATAGTGCTGGTAGCAGTACTACTGATAACAGCTCAATAAACCTTTGTTTCAGTGTTGATAGTGCTGGTAGCAGTACTACTGATAACAGCTCAATAAACCTTTGTTTCAGTGTTGATAGTGCTGGTAGCAGTACTACTTATAACAGCTCAATAAACCTTTGTTACAGTGTTGATAGTGCTGGTAGCAGTACTACTGATAACAGCGATAACAGCTCAATAAACCTTTGTTTCAGTGTTGATAGTGCTGGTAGCAGTACTACTGATAACAGCTCAATAAACCTTTGTTTCAGTGTTGATAGTGCTGGTAGCAGTACTACTGATAACAGCTCAATAAACCTTTATTTCAGTGTTGATAGTGCTGGTAGCAGTACTACTGATAACAGCTCAATAAACCTTTGTTTCAGTGTTGATAGTGCTGGTAGCAGTACTACTGATAACAGCTCAATAAACCTTTGTTTCAGTGTTGATAGTGCAGGTAGCAGTACTACTGATAACAGCTCAATAAACCTTTGTTTCAGTGTTGATAGTGCTGGTAGCAGTACTACTGATAACAGCTCAATAAACCTTTGTTTCAGTGTTGATAGTGCTGGTAGCAGTACTACTGATAACAGCTCAATAAACCTTTGTTTCAGTGTTGATAGTGCTGGTAGCAGTACTACTGATAACAGCTCAATAAACCTTTGTTTCAGTGTTGATAGTGCTGGTAGCAGTACTACTGATAACAGCTCAATAAACCTTTGTTACAGTGTTGATAGTGCTGGTAGCAGTACTACTGATAACAGCTCAATAAACCTTTATTTCAGTGTTGATAGTGCTGGTAGCAGTACTACTGATAACAGCTCAATAAACCTTTGTTTCAGTGTTGATAGTGCTGGTAGCAGTACTACTGATAACAGCTCAATAAACCTTTGTTTCAGTGTTGATAGTGCTGGTAGCAGTACTACTGATAACAGCTCAATAAACCTTTGTTTCAGTGTTGATAGTGCTGGTAGCAGTACTACTGATAACAGCTCAATAAACCTTTGTTTCAGTGTTGATAGTGCTGGTAGCAGTACTACTGATAACAGCTCAATAAACCTTTGTTTCAGTGTTGATAGTGCTGGTAGCAGTACTACTGATAACAGCTCAATAAACCTTTGTTTCAGTGTTGATAGTGCTGGTAGCAGTACTACTGATAACAGCTCAATAAACCTTTGTTTCAGTGTTGATAGTGCTGGTAGCAGTACTACTGATAACAGCTCAATAAACCTTTGTTTCAGTGTCGATAGTGCTGGTAGCAGTACTACTGATAAAGTGATAACTGCTCAATAAACCTTTGTTTCAGTGTTGATAGTGCTGGTAGCAGTACTACTGATAACAGCTCAATAAACCTTTGTTTCAGTGTTGATAGTGCTGGTAGCAGTACTACTGATAACAGCTCAATAAACCTTTGTTTCAGTGTTGATAGTGCTGGTAGCAGTACTACTGATAACAGCTCAATAAACCTTTGTTTCAGTGTTGATAGTGCTGGTAGCAGTACTACTGATAACAGCTCAATAAACCTTTGTTTCAGTGTTGATAGTGCTGGTAGCAGTACTACTGATAACAGCTCAATAAACCTTTGTTTCAGTGTTGATAGTGCTGGTAGCAGTACTACTGATAACAGCTCAATAAACCTTTATTTCAGTGTTGATAGTGCTGGTAGCAGTACTACTGATAACAGCTCAATAAACCTTTGTTTCAGTGTTGATAGTGCTGGTAGCAGTACTACTGATAACAGCTCAATAAACCTTTGTTTCAGTGTTGATAGTGCTGGTAGCAGTACTACTGATAACAGCTCAATAAACCTTTGTTTCAGTGTTGATAGTGCTGGTAGCAGTACTACTGATAACAGCTCAATAAACCTTTGTTTCAGTGTTGATAGTGCTGGTAGCAGTACTACTGATAACAGCTCAATAAACCTTTGTTTCAGTGTTGATAGTGCTGGTAGCAGTACTACTGATAACAGCTCAATAAACCTTTGTTTCAGTGTTGATAGTGCTGGTAGCAGTACTACTGATAACAGCTCAATAAACCTTTGTTTCAGTGTTGATAGTGCTGGTAGCAGTACTACTGATAACAGCTCAATAAACCTTTGTTTCAGTGTTGATAGTGCTGGTAGCAGTACTACTGATAACAGCTCAATAAACCTTTGTTTCAGTGTTGATAGTGCTGGTAGCAGTACTACTGATAACAGCTCAATAAACCTTTGTTTCAGTGTTGATAGTGCTGGTAGCAGTACTACTGATAACAGCTCAATAAACCTTTGTTTCAGTGTTGATAGTGCTGGTAGCAGTACTACTGATAACAGCTCAATAAACCTTTGTTTCAGTATTGATAGTGTTGGTAGCAGTACTACTGATAACAGCTCAATAAACCTTTGTTTCAGTGTTGATAGTGCTGGTAGCAGTACTACTGATAACAGCTCAATAAACCTTTGTTTCAGTGTTGATAGTGCTGGTAGCAGTACTACTGATAACAGCTCAATACAAATTTGTTTCAGTGTTGATAGTGCTGGTAGCAGTACTACTGATAACAGCTCAATAAACCTTTGTTTCAGTGTTGATAGTGCTGGTAGCAGTACTACTGATAACAGCTCAATAAACCTTTGTTTCAGTGTTGATAGTGCTGGTAGCAATACTACTGATAACAGCTCAATAAACCTTTGTTTCAGTGTTGATAGTGCTGGTAGCAGTACTACTGATAACAGCTCAATAAACATTTGTGTCAGTGTTGATAGTGCTGGTACCAGTACTACTGAGTACTGATAACAGCTCAATAAACCTTTGTGTCAGTGTTGATAGTGCTGGTAGCAGTACTACTGACAACAGCTCAATAAACCTTTGTTTCAGTGTTGATAGTGCTGGTAGCAGTACTACTGACAACAGCTCAATAAACCTTTGTTTCAGTGTTGATAGTGCTGGTAGCAGTACTACTGATAACAGCTCAATAAACCTTTGTTTCAGTGTTGATAGTGCTGGTAGCAGTACTACTGATAACAGCTCAATAAACCTTTGTTTCAGTGTTGATAGTGCTGGTAGCAGTACTACTGATAACAGCTCAATAAACCTTTGTTTCAGTGTTGATAGTGCTGGTAGCAGTACTACTGATAACAGCTCAATAAACCTTTGTTTCAGTGTTGATAGTGCTGGTAGCAGTACTACTGATAACAGCTCAATAAACCTTTGTTTCAGTGTTGATAGTGCTGGTAGCAGTACTACTGATAACAGCTCAATAAACCTTTGTTTCAGTGTTGATAGTGCTGGTAGCAGTACTACTGATAACAGCTCAATAAACCTTTGTTTCAGTGCTGATAGTGCTGGTAGCAGTACTACTGATAACAGCTCAATAAACCTTTGTTTCAGTGTTGATAGTGCTGGTAGCAGTACTACTGATAACAGCTCAATAAACCTTTGTTTCAGTGTTGATAGTGCTGGTAGCAGTACTACTGATAACAGCTCAATAAACCTTTGTTTCAGTGTTGATAGTGCTGGTAGCAGTACTACTGATAACAGCTCAATAAACCTTTGTTTCAGTGTTGATAGTGCTGGTAGCAGTACTACTGATAACAGCTCAATAAACCTTTGTTTCAGTGCTGATAGTGCTGGTAGCAGTACTACTGATAACAGCTCAATAAACCTTTGTTTCAGTGCTGATAGTGCTGGTAGCAGTACTACTGATAACAGCTCAATAAACCTTTGTTTCAGTGTTGATAGTGCTGGTAGCAGTACTACTGATAACAGCTCAATAAACCTTTGTTTCAGTGTTGATAGTGCTGGTAGCAGTACTACTGATAACAGCTCAATAAACCTTTGTTTCAGTGTTGATAGTGCTGGTAGCAGTACTACTGATAACAGCGATAGCCCTTATTTGCTGGCACTTTCTCCGAAAAAGAGATAAGAAACCCCACGTCTTGTTATTGATAGCAGATGATCTCGGTTGGGCTGATGTGGGGTGGCATAGTTCAGGTACGATTAAAATGTTGTATAATTAGCAATAATTAGAAATAATTAGCAATAATTAGCAATAATTAGCAATCTTACTATATATAAAGCGAGACGATATATATATATATATATATTTATTTATCCGCACCATTTTACTGACACCACGGCATCAACTTTAACACGGGTTCCCGAAAAAACCGTACAAGATATAAAACTGAAACTTTTTTAACTGATTCAAATGCTTTAATGGCCTTCAAATCAGCATGAAAAAATCGAAAATCGGCCAAGGAATAAGAATTTTAGTACCCAAAATTTGGACCACCAAGTGGTGTCAAAAACGCGAATTAAATAGGTAATAATTATTTTTACTGTGTACTGGGAGACTTTAGGGTAGGAAACTGATCCGGCCACCAAAAAGCCTTGACACCAGTCTTAAAGGTTTGACGGTACGGGTTCCTGCTAGTAATTAGTAATAATTAGCATGTGTCAGTCTGACTCCTAAATTGTTGGTTCAGAACAAATAAGAGCTACAACCCTGCTTTAACCCGATTGATTTAACGATTATATAATTAATCGATTATCTAATTAATCAAATATCTAATTCACCCATCAACACAGACAACAATCCCAACCCCAGATATTTCAACTCCCTACTTGACGAGTCTGGCAAAAGACGGAATAATATTCACACACTTTTACTCGCAACCTATCTGTACGGCTTCTAGAGCAGCTTTATTTACAGGCAGGTAGTTGGTGCTTGATTTCAAACTTTTATCAAAATAAGAAGCATGATTTTGGGAATTGGGAAAAAATGGTTAAGTTAATATTAGGAAAATGTAATGATGCCGTAATCATGTCTAAATTAGTATATTATGTAAATTTTATTTGCTCTTTGTTGAAAATTTCTCTGGCACAGGTATCCCTTCAAATTGGGGTTACAGGGATCTCGTCCCATTTTGGCGGGGGCTCCAGGAAGTCTACCCCTTGATATTAAGTTACTCCCAGAGGTTAGTGGTTTTTACTGTTCGATAAGTTTATTCAATCGTAAAACAGGATGGAAATAATATCAGAAATTTATCGGCCAAAGTTGGGACTATCCAATTCCTATCCGATTGACAAATCAGTGGTCTATGGGTAAAATTACATTAAAAAGCACATTTAATGCTATTTATAGAACATCCACCAAATTTCACCTCCCTAAGTAATGTAACTCCTCCACTAATTACACTTAATTACCACTAATTACATTTAATTACCACTAATTACAGTTAATGAAGAAGGACGGATACAGGACCCACTTAGTGGGGAAGTGGCACCTGGGTTTTGAGACGATTCGACATACCCCCGTTATGCGGGGTTTCGATACCTTCACCGGCTTCTACAATGGCATGCAGGTATAAAATATTTCCTGGGAAATTAGACGTTGTTATTTTCGTAGGATTGTTGATTTCTTGGGCTAATAGAAATTTCCATCGTCTGCCTAATGCCGATAATCAATAAATAGTTAATATCGACTGGAATTGCCTACATTTCATACATAGTGTTTTTTCATACAACAGTGTTGCATGATTGATTCCTCGGAGCACTCACAAGTTTATTACTGACTGATTAAAAGATGTGCCCCGCAGGACTACTACACGCACACAACCTCCGGATTTGACACCGTTAACGGCACTGGCGGTTACGACATGAGACGCGACTACATCGACTCCGATGGTGTGCCACACATTGACAACATACTGTGGGGTGCCAAGGGTACATACAACTCTCACTTGTTCACTGATGAAGCTATTAAGTAGGTAATGTTGGGGTATTGCTGACAATTTGTGCTTTTTCAAATTTCCCATACGAACTGAATTTAAATTTTAATTTAGTAGTTTATTAACAAATATTGAACATGATCGCCATTAGAATGAATTAATGGATAAACATAACGATTGAATTAATGGAAAACATCTGGATCCTATCTAATAAGTATTGATAACATCTGGATCCTATCTAATAAGTATTGATGACAGAATTGTAGGATAGTTGAGGATCACGAGGCTAACTACGAAGACAAGCCACTGTTCCTAGTGATGTCCTATCCTAACCCTCACTCTCCTATACAAGTTCCTGAGGAGTTTATTCAGTTCCAGGAAAATGCGCACATTGAAAACTCAATCCGGTCAGTATTTTGTAGAAATTAGGCTCTGGGAATTAGGAAATAGGATGCGATTTATTTGAAATAATAAGAAATAGGATGCGATTTATTTGTTTGATTGGTCAGATTTGATGATCTTCATCAGAGTCTGTTAAAGTGTGATTATAATGTGAAATCAGGTTATTGATTTGTAATTAATTCTTTGCAGGAAGACATACGCTGGATTGGTTTACTCAATGGATTGCTCTGTCGCGAACATTACAGAAGCCTTGAAAGAAAATGATATGTTTGACGATACTGTTGTTCTCTTCATCAGCGATAATGGAGGTTTGTTCAAATGTCAGCTTCAAATCAAGATTAACTGAGCAGCCATTTAAATCTCTGATTAAAAAGCTAAATATAGGGCTAATTTCAGAGCTGGGCATGTCTTAAAATGAGTTACTGTAACAATGCACAATAGTAATCAGTAATATCATCAACTGATCTTTGGCCAATGGCCAAGGATCAGACGATGATACTAATGGCCTGCATTTCTCCAGGGAGTTTGACTGCGGTGGATCAGAATGTAGGCCCCCACCCTACCGGGTCATCTAACTATCCTCTCAGAGGGGACAAAGGGACTCTGTGGGAAGCAGGAAGCAGGGTTCCTGCATTTATATCCGGAAGAAATGTACAAAAAGGCAAGGTAAGCAATATCCCTAATTTATCAGACTGCTTCATTTTGTACATTTTAACATGACTTAGATCAACGATCACTGCGAGCTACCCCAGCTCAAACCTACCCTTTTTCGGTAAAATGATGTCTCGAAAGCAGCAACGAACAAGATCCAACATATTCATCATCGATTGATAACACTTCCAATAACTCCAGACGATAGACGCGATGGTGCATATAACAGATATATACCCGACACTGATAAGCTACCTCGACCTGGATATAGACTACATGTCACATGAGATGGATGGGTCTGATCAATCAAAGCTTATCAAAATGTTAGCATTTCTGTTCAGTATTATTGTAGCTCAATCTCACGATGTTTATTTTATCAATCATTTAAATAGTTTGAAGTTTACTGGGCGGCGTTCAGCCTGTCATTCCGCCTAATCTTTATTCTATGATTATGAACATAAATATAATAGCCTGGGGTCCCCAAGTAATTTGAAGTTTATTACGCAGACTGCACTGGGAGATCAGCTCTCCACGTCAATGGAACTAGATGCTGACTGAGATATAAACACTAGAAATTGATTGGTCTAATACTTAACATTTTCTTTGTGTTCAGGGAATCAGCGGAGACAGCACACGATTACTTTATCTACGATATAGATCCTGTGTACGAACAAGCGGCTATCAGATACGGGCAATGGAAGCTTATCCTTGGAGATCCAGCAGCAAGTGAGTTATATTCGCAAGTACTAGCGGTGTAAAATTTCCTTGCTTCGTGCTGCTCTAATACCAGTTTATGGTAATTTATTTTTCTGAAGCGCCATTTGACACACGACGTGGTGCCAATCCTACCCACCATTTCCGGTAGCTTTTATCAATAACCATCAAGGATCACAATTTAAACCATTAATACAGACGAAGTGGACGGCCGTTACCAAATATTAAAAAAAGACCAGTCATCGTATGAAGATGGAGGACTTCCCATGAAAGATTACGTTGAGAAAGTCTACCAACTGATCGGGATTTACAAGCAATCTTTAATAAATAACCCCATGTGTAAAAGTGTGGACTGTTTCTATCCAGAGGGAACGGCAGAAAAGGCAAGTAAACATTAACTCATATTATAAAATGGCCTGATCATTTTAAAAGTTTTAAGGAAGTGTAAAACGTATGATCGCATGACCAATGACGGACACGCTTGAAATGATCAGAATTTTCATTGTACATTTTCTTCTATCGTCTTTATTTTCTATTTAGTATTAATTTCCAAATAAAACCCCAACGTAAGTCCTAACAACCGTATCTACAGGTGAAATTGTTCGATCTAAGTGTGGATGAGTACGAGTACAACGATGTCGCCTCCAAACACCCAGAAACAGTAAGAAAACTCCTTGAAATCCTGGACAAAGAGATGTCCGAGATGATTCCTCCGGTTAACCTACTGGATAGAGGCGTCGCGGAAGCTAGTCCCAATCATTTTAACGGCACCTGGATGCCTTGGTTGAAGGAAGATTCATGAGCCTGAGAATGAACAAAGTCAGATCGTGCCCAATTCCGTACTCTTAGCTTAATGGAGAGTGTCCAGTTATCAATGAAAATCCTCAAACTGACTGCCAGTCAACCAGTGTATAACCGTGTCTAGTTTTGATGCACAAAATCTATCAGAAAGATGGTTCCCTTTTGTTTTTATTTGTATTTGCAAACTTTAAGTTGAGGCGTTCAAACCTCGAAGGACGATATATGATAGTTTAAAGATATTCTTGTTTTTACTTGACGTTACTGGTATTTATTTGGAAATTTGATTCACTGAAATGAAAGGAATCTAGGAGGTCGCAAGGGAGTCTTGTAATTGTCGATGATTGATGGATATGGTTAATGTAATTTTTAAACAAATAATTAGTCTTAATGCTTAATTTTTCCCGATTCAGGGCTTTTGAAACGGGATAAAAGTGAAATAATAAATATTGCACTGATAAAGTGCTTAGGGCAAATAAAACCGTGTATGGTTTCAGGTAAATTCCTCTTAGAAATCCTCACAATATCCCATATCAGTTATATCGCTGTCTTCTTCATCTTGTGATAAGTGAAACAACCATTTTGAAATAAAGCAATGTGAGACTTGTATAAAAACAGTCAACCTTTGTAATAAAATAAATTAATCACATACATTCTTTAAACAATTATCTTAATCATGCGTTGAAAAACTTTTCTTGACACTTGACAAAACTCTTGATCATCATATTCATAATCCGCCATATTTTAAACCTCGCTGCTTTTTTTTAAATCTATCAATATCGGGTTTAATAAGTATCATGCAATGTATTACAAACCAAATTTAATTTAAATGTTACGGTTCGCAAATTGATCATACCAACATCTCAATCTCGATAGTTCAATTTGAAATATGTAGCTAGTAGCCATGGGCAACGAAATTGCCTGCAATTCGCGTTAAAATTTCTTTATTGAAAATTGGCATGCAGTATTTAAAGGCGCAAAAGCGGTATTACACAAAATTTAGCTTACGAAAACAAACGGACACTTTACTACGAAAATAGACTAAAAAGCATAATCATAAGAGCTTATAACGGCCCCCTGCAGGGCCCTATACATAAATTTTCATAAACCCCAGCAATCAGTATCAATTCATTCGAAGAAAAAAAATCCAAGAGGTTTCAAACAACAAAATTCAAAGTCCAGTTCATATTTCGGCCGTTCCGACAACAGTTTCTTCGTAGAGTGAAGCATGAGGTTTGCTACTGGGCCTTTCAGGTGTTCTGATGATGGACCCAGGTACAATACTAGGGTTAACAGTGAAGATAAACCCTGGTTTAGCTGGAGTTGATGGTTGGGGTGCCTTTGCAGGGGTAGGAGTGTGCTCTGGAATAGCTGGTTCAGCTGAGGGTGGGGCTTCGGTAGTTTCAGAGACTGGTTCTAATTCGGGTGTTGGTTCATCCTTGGGTGTTTCTTCTGGCAAAACCGCTGGTTCCTCAGTGGGTGGATCAGCAGCACAGCAACTATCTTCCTCTTCAGGTGTATCGATTACTTCAGGTTCATTTACTACTTCTTCGGTTACTGCGGGTTCATCAACTATTTCAGCCTGTTCTGTTTCAGCTAGCTTCTCCTGACCTGCCTCTTCAACGATCTCCTCGCTGACTATTTCTTCGCTCTTCTCTCCCGCTGTAACTGTGATCTCTGATTCCTCTTCTGCAGCAGGAGGATCTTGCTGCGACTCAGCGGCCTTGTTCTGACTCCTGCGCTTGAGGGATTTCTAGCTCCGGCTCTGCCACTTGTGTTTCAGGAACTTCCGGCTCCAACTCGTAGTCAGCTCCTTCCTGGTCCTCGTCCAGAATCCCGGTGGGAGTGCTAGTGTGGGAGCGGTTGGGAGAGGAAGGAGTTGTGTCTGGAGACGAGACTGTGGAGATATCTTGGTAGCTGTCCACTTCCGAACAGGAGGGAACGTTGACAAAAGAGCTGCCGGATGAAGGTACGTTGATGAAGGAACTTCCAGACGAGCTTGCGGCGAGATTTTCGGGTTGGGTATCTGGTGTTTCAACCATCTCAAACTGCTGAATTTGATCTGATTGTGGGGAGTCAGCAGACTGATCTGACTCATTTTCTTGCGGTTCAGGTTCTTCAGTAGCCACATCAGCTTCTAAAGTTTCCGGTTGGGGTTCGTTATCTTCAAGATGAGTTTCTTCGACTTGAACAACTTCTTCCACAACTTCTTGCTCTGTCGACTGCTCTGCTACTTTTGGTTCTTCAACTGGTAACTCATCTTTACTCTCAGGTGATTCATCTTTCTCGATTCCTTCTGAGGTTTCAACACATTCGATCTGTGGTTCTGGAATTGGCTCCTGCGCTTCTGAAATTGGCTCCTGTGGTTCTGGAATTGGCTCCTGTGGTTCTGGAATTGGCTCCTGTGGTTCTGGAATTAGCTCCTGTGGTTCTGAAATTGGCTCCTGTGGTTCTGGAATTGGCTCCTGCGGTTCTGGAATTGGCTCCTGCTCTGGTTCGGTGGCTTCTTGCGCGGTCCCCGCGATATCATCTTCTGAATCTACATAGTCCTTTAATTCTTCTACTTCATCTTCATTTATCTCCAGCTCAGTTGCTGCCGCTTCTTCGGATGAAGGAGGCTTCTCTTGTTCTTCGGATTGGGTTGAGAGTGACTTTATATCTCCGATTAGACTGACAAGATTAAGTAGTGATTCCTCTGTTGACAGCAGTAATGAAAACTTGTTGTCCTGCAATAAATTAGAATTATTGAAAGATTTGTGGGGGCTAACTCTATGAATCATATGTGATGTTTAATGTTTTAATCTTAAACCGGTTTTAAGTCAACAAATTATAAATGTTGAAATAATTTACTCGTGAGGTTGCAGACTGTTTTAATATACCTTTTCTTTGAGATCTTGTTTAAGCTGACTGTTCTCGTCTTGGAAACTTGATAGATCTTGCTGATAGCCCAGAATCTTTTGGTCCAGTTCTGTTTTTAGTTTACTGTTCTCCTCTTCGATTGTTGCTATTCGCTGTTCCAAAGTAGTCTGAAGCGAGGATCTATATATAGGGTGAAAATCTAACTGTTCCGACTCTTGACAGTTAGAGATTTATAACTTTTTCTTGTCAAAATTTAGAAACAAATAGCAGTGCGGGCGTTGATTTTTTGATGCTGCAACTAATGACAGATAGCGACTTTTAAATAAAAAGACTGTACCTTGTTTTCGAGCTCCGTCTTCAGTTGACTGTTTAGTTGTTCCAAACTTAGAATACTCTTTTTTAGCTTCTCACTTTCAGCAATTGAGGTTGTCACCTGAGAGGAAAACAGTATCAAGTAAAGATTTCACATGGTTATGTTTTTCCTATAATATCCCGTGCAGCAATTCTGAGCTTGTAGCAATTAAAAAACACATGCACTTAAATTCCTAGGTAGGGTTTTTTTGGGTAAAATCTAGGGTTTTTTTGGGTAAAACTCTAAACCCACCAGCCCATCAAGCTTGGCAATAGATTCCTCAAACATTTTCCGTTCGTCCTGCCACACTCTGGTGGAATTTTGATGATCGGATAGCTCATTCTGAGCTTTCGTTTGGTTCTTGGTTACGTATTCGTTCATTTCTTTCATCTGAACATTGCACAAGTTATGTGCCCTTTGCACAAGTTATGTGCTTTTTGCACAAGTTATGTGCCCTTTGATCGTTTGTTTCAGCAGCTAACTAAGTTATGAGCACACAGAAGTGAAAACTCTCACATTGGAAGAATTGATTTGGAGGAGTTTAGAATCACGCTGTATTCACTCAGTGGCGTAACAAAGGGCCCACCAAAATCTTTAGGTGGCGCCAAAAAGACCTGACCATTTTTTAGGACAAGAACATTTTTGTAAGGGCGTCAAAAAATTTCAGCGGGGGGAAATGGTAAGGACTAATGTTACGCCACTGCATTCACTCATGAAGATAATCTCATTTAATCAACACTACTTGGTGCAATTACTGTGTAAATGTGTTTTAGTAATTACTGTACACACAGCAAAAGGTGCCCACGCTTTTTATCTACAAATTGATCCCAGATTTTCCGTGCTTAAGTGAATTATATAATTCACTGGAAATTATATTAACACGTACGCGAGCAGCGCGCTAATTGATCCTAAGACGCGAAATAGATCTCAATTTGACATGCGCGTCGTACAATTTCATTTTAAGAAGACCTTCTCCGGTTGCTCCTTCCCGGTGCCACCTATCGGATATCAAGTATGACAGATTTTCAACTGAACTGACAACTCTAGCTAGATTATTCTAGTCCAAAACGAATGAAAATTAACCACGGAACATACAGGGTGGCCAAGAAGTAACTACCCACACGCAACCCTTTAGTAACTCACGTTATTCGTATCAGAATTGCTTAAAAATTTCAGAGAATATAGATATGGGTCAAACTTAGATTTCCTGAAAATGTCGTAAAATGTCATCAATTACAGAGGGTGTGGCATGCCACTCCCTATTTTTCACCATAAAGTGAGAACGTTTTGAGTTAGGAACTCCAAAATTTCAGACACATTTGGTTTGATAATTGAAGTGCTTTCCTAAAATTTCAAGTTGGTTGTTCACAACTAAGCCGAGTTATGACCCTTTTCAGATCTTGCAGATACGTGATCTCGGCACTTAATCAGTGATTTCGTAACCCAATCAGTGATCTCATCGGGAGCTATTCACTAGCGGGCAACAATAAGCCTCATCAGGCGGTACCGAGCATGTATATTATTTACTAATTTATGTAATCTTAGTACAAATACACGGCATAGTTGCTGGCCCTGTTCTAAATTGTTCCGAAATTCGTCGTTTCGCTGAACATAGATAAGGCAGCTTCCCTCATAAGCTTAGTGTACAACACAATCTGAGCAATTTCCCCAGCTGTCATTTCCTCGCTGTCATGCAAAATATTCATACACTTAACCATGAAAATCACAAATCACATCAAAAGAACGAAACTCTGATACAATTCAAGTTGTGTACGAAAGCATTACCTGAAGTTTACATTGCTCCTTCATTACATTTAGCTGATTCTGACATTGTTGTTGATATGATACCAATTGTGCGTTGTGTGCTTTATCCTTCTCGATACTTTGTGTTTCTAGCTGTGAACAGAACCAGTATGTTATTTTAGATGTAACAACATTAACATGACAGTGGCAATGTTGGTACATGCACGTGTCACGTATGAAATAAAATTAGGAATAATCGCACAAAGTTGTTGATTTTACACTTAGCAACATCAGCACTTTGCTTTACACAAAATGAAAATATCGACTTGAAAATTTGTTTAAATTAAAATCATCACAATCAACAATAATATGTGAAATTGTAGTCAAAGAATCTAAAATTAAAGACTAAAATGTAATTACTAAGTTTAATAAAATGTAATTACTAAGTTTAATAAAATGTAATTACTAAGTTTAATAAAATGTAATTACTAAGTTAACTAAAATGTAATTATTAAGTTTACCTCTCTAACCCTATCAGACAGGGATTTAACAGATTTGTTACTGCCATTATATTTAGTGGTCATATCGTCGAGCGCTATTTCTTTAGAATCCACTTCAGATTGTAGAGTAGAAATCTTCTCAAACATTAACATCAACTGAGTATTTGCCTCCTGAAAAAAATAACACGTCAGCAAACCATAAAAATAAAGAAACCAACACAAAATTGGCTTTAAATTTTAAATCAGCCCCGTGAAAAACACAGCAAACTCATCTCACAAACCTTGATTTGAGATATCCATAACGAAGCCACATAACAAAGTGAAAGGAGTACAGTAACACATTATAAAGGAGTACAGTAACACATTATAAAATAGTGGATGTAACATTATACACGGTGAGTGCCACTCTTACATGAGATGATGTGTGCTCACTGTTAACTAACTGTATGGTGTTCATTGGTGCGGATACTGATATCAACTACTGACCAACTAGTGGGATGAATGTTGAATATTCTTTAAAGGATGAGGGGACCTTAGAAAAAGTTTTTTTCTCGTGCAAATCATATTATTACATTAATCGTAAAAACCACTTTAGTGAAATCCGCAAAGTTGTATTTCATTCGCGCGCCGAGATATCCAGCCAAAACAATTTGAACCTGTGACGTCAATTATGTGAGTTGCTCTGATCCGCGCATATAGAAATACAGGTAAAATGAGCGTGCGGGCTGACTAAATTACTAATTAAGAATACATAAACAATTTACAATACTAACAAGCCTATAACCAATGGAGAGGAGACTTTTTATGACCGGTTGAAAAAAGAATTATCACCCTACGATAACCATGAGCCGAGATACACCTGAAATAAGATTGAAGTCACACAGAAAGGCATGTAAATTATGTATATTTATAGCTCCCAACCTAGCACCTAGCAACTCCCTGTATCGTACCACAGTTGATATATCAACATGTCATATCAACACAACACGGTCCTAATAAAAACGGATCGGGTAGGTATGAAATGCACGTCTTCATTCCAGTTGGACAAGCACCAAGCACCAAGCTTTTAAGTTCTAACTCACTATGTGACACTATTTATAACGTAAGCAAGATTTGCAACCAAGCAATATTATACCAAGCATAGCAGACGAACACATCCACATTCGTTACGCTTTACACTCAAGTCACAGCAAACTAAAACGGTAAATTATAAATGAGTGTACAACTAAAGGCCGGTACACGCGCAGTGCCAAACCGCACGTGCGCACTCAGATAGGACTAGAGGCGCCAAGGGCCAGCTAGTAAAATGTATTCTACTACATCATACATTCAATCGATTTTTAGATCTTCTGTTGCGGCGCTTTCATATTGCTGTTCGACAATCGGGGTTGCGAAGGAACTGACCGAAAGAGAGTCAGTCAACTGCATTACAGACATTCATAGATTCAAAGCGTCAATTTGCGACGAGTCTGTTTTAGAACTCATCGCATATTCTGTGAATCGGAAGGAGTTCCCGGAAAAGGATGATGTTGAGAAAAGGAACAGGCTATACCGTTTCGCTGCTTACAGAACATTCTTTGGGATACTGGAGCTGAACGGACTGGGTAAAGGACGGCGCTTCAGACTACCACAGTGTGTGGTGAGAGTTATCCGCAGAATGTACCCCAGCAAGTCAGGCAAATATGTCGGATTTAAATCACTAAACGAACAAGTTTCGGAAAAGCTAAACATATATTAAGTGGGTCGGTCAACATATCTTCTATTTCATATGTAGTGCTCTGCCAATTGCAACACTTGATTTGATTGTGCTCTGCCGATTGCAACACTTGATTTTATATTGTTCGTCGCACATTTCATATGAAAATACATTCCTTTATTCTTGTATAAAGAAATATGCCGATTTTTAATTGTGTCCATATCGGGTTTCAAACAAGTCAAAACAAAATAGCAGTTTGTGGTTTAGTTAGCGGATGCTACTTATCTTCGAGCGTGCTAAATCACTCTACAGTCGATGTTCGAGATTGTTCTAAAAGAGCCCCCGACAGTTGAAACCTAATTCAATCGATGTATTTTCGAACGCTGATTCCGAATCACCCCCCATGACATAGGGTTAAAATGCTCCCCTGACGGGATATTGGCGAAAAACTGTCTCGATCACGTGATATGACCGTATAAGGAAGTTAGTCTAATTTCTCGTTAGGGTTAGGGTTTCAGCATATGCTTTTGTTAAGGATTGGGTTAGGGTTAGGGTTGGGATCAGATTAAAGGGTTATGGTTTCGAATAGTCGTTCAGAACCAGCTAGAGAACGGGTTGAAAAAGTCACGTGACAGTCGAGTGTAGAGTGATTAATCATCATCCACTTATCTTAGCTATTTATAAATAGAAATACCTACTACAACTACAAGAAAGCCTTTCTGAGTTACATTTAACTATTAAAGAGAATTATTCGTAACTTAGACTAATTCAGTGCAACCAAAGATACCGCTCTCGCAAACGTCAAAGGTAACACGACGTAAGTAAAACAGAACAGGACAAAATGTTGACACGAGCGAAGGGTGTGCGCGCACGCACGTTGGTCTTACACATAATTGACGTCACAGCCCAAAATTGCTATCAGCCAATAGGAGCGCGGCGTGATATTGCACGAATTATCGATTTCACAGTCCGGCGTATTTTTTGATTCTACACACTTTCACAGGACTTAAACGCGAATATTTGAAAGTAAATTCTAAGGTCCCCTCATCCTTTAATACGATACAAAGTGTGACATGTTGATTCAACACGATGTGATTCAACTATTCAACTCCAATGTTTCAAAAGTTATTAATTTTGACTTTGAAAATCAACTCCCACATGAAAATTTGCCATTTGAACAGGGTTTATAATCTATTTCATCTATTTCATCAAGCCTATCCTGTATGTGCGAACAGTATTTTTGGTGATTCAGTAGTCATGGACGCAGGACTTTAAGATCAATCTACAATTTATAAATTTGAATTTTTGATTAGAAAAGGGACTACTAAGGTAAATTTATCTGCACCGCTTTGTTGGCCAGTATCAACTCCATTTTTTGGACTTTGGTCGCTTATACGGCCTAAGCGGTATACAAATAAAGCGTTATTATTATTATTATTATTATAATTAAGCAGAGCAATGATTGAAATAAATTTTCGTGCACATACAGAATGAATGGTTAATAATTTAATATATATGTAGACCAAGCTCTGTGCACGGGATGCTTCCTGGAAGAATCCAGTTCTTTTAGCGGGGCACCCTACCTAAAGCCAAATTGAGATATAATAATCATATTCCTAGAGAAATAATCAGAAATCGAATACCAATCAAATAATATGATATATATGAGTAGTAACCATATTTACTATGCAAAATGCCCCAACCACATAGTGTAAATTTATATAGAATTCAAATTCCATATCATCATTAAACCTCAATACCTAGTCAATATAATAGCCCAAGCAAAATTAAATAACTTCTTATATACCTTACTGTCATACTACAAATTAATTAAACATTTGAAATCTGTTGACCAGAGAATAAATTTCTAAGCCTAATGCAAGTGAAATAATTTAGATGCAATAATGAATGCCTAATGTGAGTATCATTTGTCAATGTCCTTGTAAAAAAGTCTGTACAAGAGATATGAGTAACTAATATAGAAGAAAAAACAGGAAGTTGTCGTCTGTTGTAAAATAAATAAAATATCTAGAATATAAATTAGAATATAAAATAACATTCAGTCAATGTGTCGTCAATAAACTGTACAATTATCAAATGTTAAAACTGGGTGATACAGTCACCAAAAAAAATACTAAGTATGATAAGTTAATAAATTAAATGTGGTCTATAAAACTACCACTAAGTATAATAGGTCAATAAATTAAAAGTGGTTTATAAAACTACCACTGTGGGAACCCCTTCTCCAGTTAAAACATGTCAGTCATGTGCAAAATCAATCAGAATGGTAAGGTGGTAAAAAAGGGAATATCTTTTCGATACATCAATTATATATGCCTCAGATTTAAAAGAATTAGAAGTTACTTAGTTATCGGCGACTATGATTGCAGTGTAAAATTTGTCATATGAATTGTCGACGGTATAATTAGGGTCTGTTGTTATAGATGATAGTAGCTGTTTCTTATACGAATCACTAAAGCTTTTAACATCGGGCAGATTTCGTAGATCTGTTGGAACATTATTCCAACATTTTGCCCCCAAGTATTGAAAGTTTTTATGTGATGTTGATCTATTGACATAAAGGTTGCAGCTTTCGCCGCTCCTACTACCTCCTGATATGTAACTAAATTTGTTCATAAAGTTTGTAGGACAATTGTCATGGATGATTCTAAACATATAATTTGACAGATGGAGTTGTCGTCTAAGATGGAGTGGTAACCATTTCATGTCTCTATAAACATTAAGGCTGCTCTCTGTTTTTGGAACATTGAGAGCTATTTTGGCTACCTTTTTGTACAGAGTGTCAAGTTCAGCAAGTTTTGTCTTGCCAGCTCTACAATAGATCGTGTCTAAATAATCGAATTGTGGCAACATGAGTGCATTGGCAAACATTTTCCTATATTTAATGGGTAGCAGTGCTTTACTTCTATACATGGCACCAATTCTCTTCATGACCTTCCTAATAATATAATCTACATGGCTTTTGAAGTTTAATTTACTATCTAGAATGAGGCCAAGATATTTTGTCTCTTTGCACTCCTTGATTGTGAAAGTTACCTCATTACAATCAATGGTTATTTCATCATGTTGGTCAACAGAATCAAACAATAGGAATTCAGTCTTCTTTTCATTGAGTGATAATTTATTAACACTGAGCCATTTAAAGATTGTCATAAGTTCTATTTTCATGTTTATAAATGTGCTTCTGCAGGTTTGATCAAAGAATAGTGCACCATCATCTGCAAATAGAAAGGGCTTAGATAGGTTACAGGCATAAATGATGTCATTTATGAAGATACTAAATAATATAGGCCCAATGATGCTTCCTTGTGGTACACCACTCAGAACTTCTAAAAATGAGCTTAGATTGCCATTGATCCTAGTGCATTGATATCTACAAGATAAGAAGTTCTTAAACCAGGTTAAAGCAATGCCACCAATTCCATAATATGCCAATTTTTGAAGCAATATTTCATGATTCACTGTGTCAAAGGCCTTCTTAAGATCAAGAAAGATGATTCCTGGTTTATAAGACTTAGATTTACTCATATATATTTCGTCCATCAGATCGTACATCAGATAAGTTGTGGAGTGATTTTTCCGAAAGCCATATTGATGCCGGATGAAAAGTTTGTTCTCTTCCATGTAATCAGTGAGTTGCTTGCCGACAAAGTATTCTATAAGTTTTCCTACAAGTGGAAGGATGGATATTGGCCTGTAATTATTAGGATCATCTTTCATTCCTGCCTTATGGATGGGAGTTACTCTAGCTTTTTTACAAAGGGTTGGTACAACACCTGTATTAAGGCTCAGATTGACAATGTGGGTCAGTGGCTCAACTATGTGTGGTACAGCTTGCTTAAGTAAAAATAGAGGCACATTGTCATATGAGGCCTTGTCATTCTTGAGCGTTTCGACATACATTAGGATATCAGTTTCATTTATTTCTTGGAATCTATCAAATGAGATATTAGAAGTTCTAGGAGGTAAAAAATCAGTAAAACTAACTCTTTCAATATTGGGGGCCTGATTTTGTAATCTTGATCCAACATTTGCAAAATGAAAGTTAAATAGCTCAGGATCATTCTCATTGATAGTTTGACAATTAGTTGTACCAGGGGTCATATTTGATGCCAGTTTGATAGTTTTCCATATCCCTTTAAGATCATTCTTGGCACTTTTAACTTGTAGATCATCGATTACATTAGCCTTTTTGCAGGTTTTAGCTAATTTATTTCTAATATTTCTCTGAATCTTGTAGCAATCCCAGGCCTCATTACACTTTATACATTTGCTACATGTACCACATTTATTGCAATTTCCATTGTCTCTCTTATCCTTCTTTTTACGGAATTTCTTTAGAAGAAAATGTGTATGATTAATGGCATTTAAAAGTTCAGTAGAAGGTTTATGTATGAACTTTTCATGCCTTTCTATGGTCTTGCAAGGGAAGAAGGTTGCATATGCCTGTTTAATATGATGACAAAGGCCAGCAGTGATAGCTTCAACATCTGTACTTTCCAATAGTGGACTGTAATCAGAACAGGTATCTAGATAGTCTAAGAATTGTTTAACATTACGTTTACAATGATTTCTAATTTCAACCTTTTCAAATTTAGGAGCTATAGGTACTTTACAATCTATCTCACACATAATAGCTTGATGATCTCCAATACGTTCATCAAGAACAGAAGATTGGACAAAATCTGCATAACAGTTAGTGAATATTACATCAATAGTAGTCTGGGTAACATTGTCTCCACGTTTAGCAACTCTAGTTATCCCTTGAATGGTTTGAACTAGATTGTAACATCTCAAGGTCATATCTAATTTTTTGTACTGGGTGGATGAGATATTATTCTGGTCAATGTTTATATCCCCAATCCAGATAACCTTTTTCCCATTCAATTTTTTCATGCAAAAATGAATGTATTCAATAAAGTTATCAACACTGCAATAATTTCCAGAGCGATAGAAGCAGCAAACATTGATCTTGCTATTCTTAAGCTTCACCCATAATGCTTCAATGTTATCAAGCTTACTATCCATAACTAATTCTGTGTAAGCTAGTTTTTTGTTTATCATTAAGCCACAACCACCCCTAGAACTGTTTGGCCTGTCGCATCGCATAAGGTTGAAGGAGGAAGGAATATTTATGGTGTCTGTGTCAGACGGAGCACATGTATAGTGTATATTGTACACTTGTAAGTTTTTACGGAATTTCAGGAATTTTAATTAAAAACATTACATTGTGTAATAAGAGTTTGTTAAACCATCATGTGTATAATTTACGAATAATTTCAATTGTGTATAATATGAAATTAATTAACTTTAACTAATTAAGTTGCACACTGAAACTAAGTTATACTCACTTTAATCATGACTTTACTGGGAGGAGCAGACTTCTCAGAAGCGGAACTGGCAGTACGTGTTCTATTCATGTTATCAGCGGGAGTAGCTCTAATCATCTGCTGATCTCTTTTGTACTGTTTCTCGTATGCTGCTACTTGGAGAGCAGCGAATGACATCAACTACTGCAGGTGGTTTTGGGTGTTGTGTGTTGTGTTTTGTGCTTTGTTGAAATACTGGGAACTTTAAACTAATATTTGTATCTAATCTTTGAGTGTTTAGAATAAGAAGTGTCAAAATATTGATTTTACCGAAATTTACTGATTTGTAAATATTGGAACGCAATTTTTAGGCTGAAAACACAAATGAGTTAAACATATCAATGAAATGAAATGAGGTATTTATATCCCACTCATATGATTAACGAACAATACAAAGAAGGTGGTCAACCATGTCAGAGCGGCTGACTGTGAGTGATGTGAGCAAATGTGTAAAAGTGAACAAAAGTATAAATAATTATAATTGGTAATATACTCAATGATGGAAGTATAGTGTATTGGCTATGCCCCGCTTACTAGTTTAGCTCTTTCTAGTCCCCTGCTACACGGCATGTAAACAGGGATTGGCTAGTTAGAGGCGGTCCGTGTAGGCCTTACACTGTGCTTTCAGCAATACTCATAAGGCTAAGACTAAATTAAAACATTTTTTATTGTAAACCACACTAAACTAAAAAGAAGCAGAAACCATACAATACATGACAAAGAAAATATAAATTACTGAAAACTCACATAAATAATCCTTGTGTATGTTATGAAATAATACATCATCATTGCAAGATAATTTCATAATATTATAGTAGATACTCATTCTTGGGCTTATTGGTATTAAAAGGTCGATTTAATGAATAATGTAGACGAATACCGGGGGACCAAATTAGTTTACGATAAATATATGCTGTCGTAAATTATGACTCAAAATATAACATTATTTTACATTATGCGGTATTATATAATATATGTATATGGCGAAGAGTTATTACAGTGTTGTATGTATCGTTTCAATAGGATAAAATTGAATTAATATTCATACAGATGTGGATTGTGGATAATTGATACTTGGCAAATATTTACATGAACTATTTATGATTTGGGGAATTAAATGAATTCTGTAAGTAGTAATCATGTAAGTAAGTTCATGTACACAGGTACAATACTGGAAGTCAGGATTGTTATATTACGACAGGAAATTATTATTTGCTGTGTGATTGATACAACATTGTTTCATGAAATAGATACCCCATTATATATGAAGCTAAAATGAATAGAATAATAATGGATATAATGCACTAATGAATAGATCCTGCCAGGTTTTTAAAAAAGAAATCTATTAGTGATAGTTTTTGGATATGTTTCGATTGTCTTTGGTACATAACTACCTTACATTAAGCAATGTCACGATTCTGTGACACATGGTCTTGTTGCCAACAAATCAAAACTGTCAGTATTGTAATTGCGATCATTGTTGTTGCCTGGGACATAAATCATGGCTCTCAACACTTATTCGTTCATTTTTATTTAGTTAAATATAATTAAGTCATTAACATTTTCAGTTAAAGTACCAAATACCAATGATTATTGTTTTGAATAAAATTTGCACAAGATTTCTAAGATGGACTGGACTACTTATACTCAATGTTTAGAACGATTACCAATAATCAAAGCACAATAACTCATGGGAACATTTAAAAAATTGATACAAATAATCTAACACTCTGACGAAACATTTTATTAAATTGATAGCACTATCGAGGCTAAAGAATGATTTTTTGTGAAAGGCTAGGGAGTCGATACACATTACACAGCCACAAATTATTTGTTTAAGTGAGATTCAAAATTTTGGAATGAAGGAAATATTATATACTCATACAAACTCATACAATTACAGTATTAAATTTTAAAGTGAGAAAATTTTGGGTATGGTTTGCACCATGTTGATAATTACTTAAGGTAAACTGAACAAACTTTTAATTTGGGTTAACAATGATGATCAAAATCGAACACCTAACTGATAAAACATTGAGCAGAAACACTCTAATCAGCAATAATTCAATACATCTAGAACTGCACAATTTTCCACGAAATTCGCCCTGGTGTCATATTACTTCTGTTCATACTTCATATCATCAAAGAATATTATGGTGCGATCTGAAACTAAGTGTATGTGACCCATAATGGGATATTGAACCTGATTTTATTATCAATAATTTCTGCATCCAAAAGTACAAATAAACAAATACAAATAAATACCAGTTTTTAATCGACCCATAAAGACACATCCTGAATAAGTGTTCTAGGGGCATGAACCAAGATTTATGATATTATCAAATACTAGAAAGCCTGTGGTAACAGGGATGAAGCTAGTAGTATTCTTTTAAAAAAAGTTTTAATCGCATCAAAAAATATCCATCCCAACCAAAGATACAGCTGATTTAAATGTTAAACACAACGTAATTAATAATTACCACAAAACCGATCAAATTGCCGTTCCAACAATCTTGGCACGTGCACATGTGCGTTCAACACCGTTGTGCAACCTTTTGATGTTTACCTAACTTCCTATTTCTCATCCTATTTGCACGTGGGTGGTCATACATACAAACGACAAACAAACATAATCTTTTGAATTATAATAAAGATCAATCGTACCACTGTCATGTTGTTCTTTTTTTAAACGAAATTTTCTAAATCAGTTTATCATTATTAAATCTAAAATAGCTTAAAATATATAAATAGTATGAAAAGTTTAAAACAATTTTTGAAACCATAAAATAAATTGATGATGCCTAATACCCTTCATTAGACCAATCAACTTTATAAGAGGGATACTTCTTCTGAATCAATTTAACTGCTTCAGAATGATTAGCTCGTCCATATCCCACAGAATATCCATACACTGAAATTTCTTTCTTGTCAGGATCATGGCGTATTCTACCCCCACCCAAACACTCTGTGTCTAATCCTGCTGCCAGCGCTAATTCTAGTGTTTTCTGGTATATATCGTCGTGATATTCACCCCAACCGTATCCACGTACCAGCAACTTAGAGGAATCGTCCTTGAGATACAGATTGATCAGGACGTATTTGAATTGTCCAGATGCATCTATGTCTACTTCTTGCTCAAGACTCATACTCAGATCCTATTTTAGGAAACATTTCATGAATAACACTGAAGTAAAATACTACAAACAAACCTGGAGGGGGGTTGTTAAAACATATAAGTGATACGAAAGATTTATTAGCAGGAGCTTTCAAAATACATGTGTAAATCGTCTTCAGCTACAAACAAATATTGCAGGCTACATATGGTATATGGGTCTAATAATATAATCCAGTCTAGTTCAATCGCAATAAGATTTTGAGGAGTATTTATATTCTTGTATCATGCGTTAAGGGGGCCGGGGGGGGTCTTCATCAAAATTCTCTCGAAATCGACTTTATAGTTGTTTCTGATAGAGGGGAGTGATATCTTTCAGCTGCTTTTGGTCCCATGGAAAAATATTGTTCCTAGCCGAAATTATCGCTGTTCAAAGGTCAGCGCTTATGTGTAATTGTATTGCGCGTTCTGAAAATCGAGTCTAAAAATCTATCTTCTCCTACATTTTTTGAGCAATCACCCTCAAACTTTCAGGATATGTTCTTAGGATTAGTAAGAAGAGAACTCCAGAAATTTTGAGATAGGCCTTTAAAGATTTTTAATTCGATTTTGAAATTCTCGGACCTTAATTTTTAGAGGTCCAAGAATTTCAAAATCGGATTAAAAATCTTTAAAAGCCTATCTCAAAATTCTGGCTCTAGAGTTCTCTTCTTACTGATCCAAAGAACATATTCTGAAAGTTTGAGGGTGATTGCTCAAAAAATGTAGGAGAAGATAGATTTTTAGACTCGATTTTCAGAACGCGCGATTGAAAATCGCTCGCGCAATACAATTACTCATAAGCGCTGACCTTTGACCAGCGATAATTTCGGCTAGGAACAATATTTTTCCATGGGACCAAAAGCAGCTGATAGATATCACTCCCCTCTATCAGAAACAACTATAAAGTCGATTTCCAGAGAATTTTGATGAAGACCCCCCCCCCCCCCCCCCCCCGGCCCCCTTGAGGTCAAACATGACATATTGAGAGAATATTAATCTGTAAGAAGGACACATTTTCAAGATTTTAAATATTTAGAGAAACAGATAAATTGTGCGGTTCAATTTGCTTTTTGGTCCCATAGTTATAGTGTACGAACTTGCTAGTATTTGAATGGAAGTCTAGTAGAATGTAAATTTTAGCTAGGGAAATAATTGTGCGTAACATGTGTATCCCATTGTGTGATTGTATGTACCTTTTTTGCACTCAATCATTATTAAAACATGAAATTAACATCGGACATGGTTTGACAAAGGCTGCCTGACCCTAGGTCAGCGGATGAGTTGCATGTAAAGACTACAGGTCGAAGTGTAGCTGAAAAAACACAAACGAATTGAGAGGAGTTTCTTGCCGTGCACATTTTCAATCCCAAATCGCCTACATAGCAAGGAAAGACCATGCCACAGCTCTAAACTCTGCACGAGAATGAGAAAAAGAACCAGTACGTGAACCGAGTGCTACAATTGGAGAAACAGTCATTCGTCCTCCATGTATTTACCACAACAGGAGGAATGGCACCTGACGCCAAGCGTTTCATAAGGAGACTTGCTGTGTTGATGGCCACAAAGACCAAGGAGGACTACAGCCATGAGCCAGGTGATGTGTAACATCAGGACACGCCTGAGCATGGATACAATGAGGAGTGTGCTAGTAGCAGTTAGATGTATACTTGGCAAGGCACTGAAGGTTGTAACATGGACCACCCCTATATCCAATATCTCTTTCAACCTGATACCTGAGGAGGAGAGCTACGAGGGATAGATGATATTTATTGCTCATGATTTACGATTGTGCTCTGCCAATTGCATCACCTTATTTAATTTATTGTATATGTATATTATAGTGTATATACTGTTTGACAAACTTTTTCCTAGATCTGATCCATTCAAACATAAACGAATTAAGAATTAACCAAGAAAACAACACAAAAGCATCAAAGCAAGTCACGAATATTTTGTGTAAAATGATCGATGTTAATTTAGCGCTCGATTTTCATCGTTTAGTAAAATAGTGAAAACCAATGAAAATGTCATATGCGCGGCGCGATAATTTAATAATCCTAAAATAACTTCTTTCAAATCATTTAAAATAAAATGTGCCACTGAATTATTTAAAAATTAGCCCACAAAGATTTTATTTAAATTTCCGTTTACTTTGAGTAATATACAGTATTGAAAAAAATTAAAATTAAAATTTTTAATTTTATACAATGCTAAATACAATGCTAAATACAATGCTAAATGCAATAAAAATGCTAATTACAAAGCAGCTTATGTTAATATTTATAAAGTATAAAATACTTTCTGGTGACAAATTTATGAAGAAATTATTTTAATAATCCATAATATAACTGAGCAATTATTTTACTTAACATATGAGACGCGCGCAATGAAAGCCGCGCATCTAGCTCAATCGATTGTATAGTAAAGGTGTTTTGATCTGCATTGTGAATCGAGCGCTCAACTGTGGGTTTGAGATACACTTTAAATTTTAGAATTTATACTTGAAAATTTATTGTTATTGTACGTACTACGTGTATTGTGTAACCTACTCTGATTTAAACTAGTATAGGTTTCTATTAAAGTTGCAGGGACATATTACTCAGTACATCATACTATTAAATTTCAATCACTATCATGGCCAATGATTTATGATTGGTTAGAAAACCTGTACAGAGAACACAAATTTTTACTGTAACGCCTTTTACTAATTGTATCGATTTGTAGTAGCTGGGGTGGTGTCACACCTTATAGACTATCTACCTTATAGACTATCTAAACTGTTCTCCATCCAAAAAAGATGTGTACGCCTTCTATTTGGAAGCAAACCAAGCTTTGACCGGGCAGAGTATTATGAAACATGTGCACGTGCAAGACCATACAGTGAACACATCGCAAAAAGGAGCTTTGCTTTGGAAAATACTAAGCCAATATTCAATACCGAGAAAATCATGTCAATCCACAACCTGTACACCCAACATATAATGACAAGTTCATTTTACCTATGTAAATGCAAAATCAATCAAATGCTAGAGAAAAGAAGTATGTTTTAAGTTTGGTCTTGAAAGATGTAACTGACTCAGCTGATCTTATGTCGTATGGCAAGGAATTAAATACTTTAACTGCACAGTGACTAAAAGCTTTCTCTGTGTTTACATAGTTAGGAGAGGGCGGAAAACTAAGGTAAAAATAATCATTATCAAGACGTACATTTTTAAAACTTTGCTGCCTAGGAGATATCAACTCTTTTAAGTAAGGAGGAGCTATATTATTTAAACACTTGTAGGCAAGTAGGGCAATCTTAAAATCTATTCTAAATCTAACTGGTAGAAAATGAACTTTCTTAAGTAGTGGAGTAGTGTGTGCCTTTCTTCCTCTCCCGAAAATAAATCTTACAGCAGAATTTTGCACCTTCTGTAAACGACTTAAATCATATATCCACTGAACTGTTTAAAATCTTGAAACTGCATCAACCTATCTCTCTGACAAGTTTATTCCAAAAAAGTTACAGAGCATGTAGCCAAACTATGCGGGTCCCCCTACACAAACTTGAAATTTCTAAACACAATTTTGTCTTCAAAGGTACGACTATATGGAACAGTTTGGTTGATAAAATATTCGACAAATGCACTCCTAATGAAAACAATGTCATGGTCCCTGGCTCTAGTAAATTTTCTGACCTTTCCTCCCCCATCTCAATTATCAAGAGCCGTATCAAAAAGCTCTTACTTGAAACCCAGCAATTGACAACACCTGGGCGTGAAATTGAGTGGCTCCCCCTAAATAGCTGGGGCATTGAACCAGCTTAGTCAATCAGCATCCCATCCCTTGCATACAACTAATTACAAAAGCGCTAATTAGACCTGTTTCAAAAGCATCCTGTCTGGAAGTTCCCTGACTGCCGTGTGAATCTTTGGATCTATTTTTGGATCTATTTTTATATTGATATGATTTTTATATACCTATATATTCCTCGCATAATTTCCATGTCCGCCTGAACAAACCTGGCACCATCAAATCTTACCTCTAGAAACCCTAAAACTCATCAAGCCTAGCCTGAATTCAAAACTAGTTGACCAGCTACGTACAGTTTCCTGGACAACTGGAACCTTTTGGGCCATGCACAAGCCAATAGCATGTATGGTCCTGCAGTGGGGTCTCCTTGTCCTTGGATCTGTGTTTTGATCCATCTTTTCTTAAAATTTTCCATTTGTGTCACTTAGAATCACCTTTTAAATGTTAATCGACACCACTGGTCCTAGTTAAATTTAGCCATGGCACGACTACTCGAACGTAACAATTAAATAGGTGTGACATACTATTATATTCTTATAATTATATCATATGAATTGATTGCACTGCTAATAAATAAAATACTTTGTTTTACTAAAATACTTTGTTTTACTAGCATTGTAGCATTTTCAGATTGCAGTTAACAGTATACAGATTACAGAGAAATTATCATTCTCCAAATTATTATCTTCTTCCACGGTGAGTAGCTGCTAATTCCTTCGTCAGAGAGTAAGCTAAAATATAATTTAGGCTTCCACCCCCAATATAATGAGGACACACATAACAGGGCACATAACAGGGCACATAACAGGACACATAACAGGGCACATAACAGGGCACATAACAGGACACATAACAGGGCACATAACAGGACACATAACAGGGCACATAACAGGGCACATAACAGGGCACATAACAGGGCATATAAAAGGGCACATAACAGGACACATAGCAGGGCACATAACAGGGCACATAACAGGGCACATAACAGGACACATAACAGTGCACATAACAGGGCACAGGGCACATAACATTCCCTGTGCCCTGTACCATGTGCCTGTGCCCTATGCATGTGCCCTGTGCCAGAACGGCATACATATGGTATTTCTATTTCCTGACAACGAAAAGACTTCGGGTACAGTCAGATGTGTGCTAGGTAAATTCGATACAGATGTTTGTCGATAACTTGGAACATGAATTCCT